TCCATACACGTGCGTAAATGCGTTAAGGGGCCGAAATAATAGGAAAAAAGTTGTTGTTAACAAAGCGAGCTTTTTTTTTTTAAATTTATACTCGTATTTATTATTTAAAATGTTTTTGTTTTTTCTCTCTCTCTTTCTCTCTCCCCTTCTCTCCCTTTCCTCTCTCTCTCTCTCTCTCTCTCTCTCTTTTGTTATCTTTACTACCGCGTGTTAAATTTATTGTTTGTTGGTTATTAACGTTGAGTAGTTAAATGGCACAACATAATCTTTTCTTTTTCTTTAAATGGTTTAAGATTAGAAAAAGTTTTTGTTTTTTTTTTTGTTTTGATTGTTTTTTTCTTTGCTACACGTATGCGGCGTACCTGTTTCCTCCTTCCCCCCCGTCATCACCTGATCCGTCATAATCGGTCGGAATCGTGAGAATTCGTTTATTACGTTTTCCTTTCGATACGAATATTAGACTCTTAATAAATTTTAAAATTTATTGTTATTATTATTATTATTATTTCGAAAGCGTCATAGATGCGCGTGCGTGCGTGTAAAATGCTTTAAAACGTCGGCAAGGCATGTACCTGCATGCCTGCTTGCCTGCCTGACTGCCTGTCGTCAAATTTTTCTTTTTTTTGTTGCTCTGTCGTACCTCCTATCGCACCTCCTATCGCATAGTTTTTTTTTTACTTCGATTGCGTCACAATGTGCGGGAAAACGTCAAAAAAAAAAAAAATTTTTTTTTAATTATTGATTGAAATTTTCGGAACCTGGAAAATTTTCAAATTTATTATTATTATCATTATTATTAATAATAATTAACTTTCACGTGGTTCCTTGAATAAGTGGGACAAGCGTAGCTTGTTCTCGATTTTTTTTTTCTTTCTTTCTTTCTCTCACTACTTTATGATTGTTTGAAGGGGAGAATGAAAAAAAAAACGGGGGGGGGTCCTTCCCCCTATTAAAGTCCTAATCAAAAAGTTGAAATTTTGAAGATTTTTTTTTAAGGTGATCCGCAGCGGATCCTCAAATTAATTTCATCGGATTTCGAAACGAAATAAATAAAAGAAATCCGCCTTTTTTTTATATAAATATGGTGATAATAGGACGTGCGTAGATGGGCAAGGATTCGATAGGAGGAGGACTGAAGGGGATTGAGGTTGGGGAGGGGCAGACAGAGGGGGGGATTAAAATTTTCATCCGGTTAAATAACATAAATAATATACCGCTTTTGTAAAAAAAAAAAACGTTTTGGAGCCATGAAAAACTGGACGGGTCAATGCCACGTTTCTAAATTATTATTTTCTATATAAATATTACGAAAAGTTTGGGAAAGAAAGTTTCACGTGTGCGTATGCGTGTGGGTACGTGGTGGGTACGTGGTGGGAACTCGTTTGTTAACGTTCGATTTATTATTACAAGCGGGTAATTAATAAAAAAAACGACGAGGAAAGTTAAATAAATAAATCAGATGTGAAAAATCTCTGTGGGATTTTTTTTTCATCATCATTATTATTATTATTATTATGTAATTGAGTTTTATATATATATATGGCGCCATCCTTGAACTTGACACTCGGGGAATTGGGAGAAAAAAAAAAAAAAAAAGAATAATGCCCCTGACTTATTTTCGATTTACGCGTTTCTAAAAATGGAATTGATTTCGGTCCAAAAAAAAAAAAAAGAACCGCCAAACAGCGTCGCGACGTCTTTTCGAAAAATCGCGCAAAATTTTTTTTTTATTTCCGGGTGACTTTACCGGAAACGGTAATTGCATCCTTTTCTCATTTCGTTTGCTTTCTCTCCGGGTTGACCATTTGATGATGACGAAAACGATTTTTGGAAGCTCACCTCGTTGCTGGATACCAAAATGGAAATGAAAGATGGAAAGAAAGAGAGAAAGAAAGAAAAATATAAACGAAAAGACGTTCTACTTTTACACGCGGCAATGGTATTCCATCATCTCGGTCGTCTAGTGACCTACTTGACGTCTTCCTCCTCCTACTCACCTCTTCTTCTTCCTACAACACAAAAACTTTTTTTTAGTGTCTGTAAAAAATTTTTTGTTCTCGTCTGCACCGCCAAAAAAAAAAAAAAAAAAAAAAGAAATAGGACGAGTGCACGCATGCATGTAGCGAATATAAAAACGAGAGAAGGATAGATAGAGATAGAGAGTGTGAGAGAGAGAGAGAGAGAGAGAGAAAGAGATATAACGAATCCATTAAAATCAAAACGTGATTCATTATTTAAATGTTGTAAACGCGCGCGCGTGTGTGCGTCATAACGTAGTCGTCGTCGTCGTCGTCGTCGTCGTCGTGGTTTTTTTTTTTAAATACTCGAAGATAGTTTTCGATTCGTTCAGATCAGTCCGTTTACCTAAATACCTGTGATAGCAGGTTTTGTTTTTAGTTTTTACGTTGTCTTCGTCGTGTTCGTGTTCGTCGTTTTATTATTATTATTATTATTTATATTAACACGATTATGTTATTTTGATTATTTGTGTTTGTTATTATTATTATTATTATCATACGCGTTTTGTTTTTTTTTTGTGTTGTTAATATTTAAATAAATTATTGTTGTTATTCGTTTGTGTATGTGTATGCCTTTCACCTATCAGTATTTCAAAATGCCAGGATTACTTAAGGTATGTTTGTAAATTTTTTTTGTTTTTAATGGGGGGGAAGGGGGGTGTGCGTGTGTGATGGAGAATCGCGAGAAATTTTTTTGTTTTTTTTTTCTCGGGTTAAAAGAAAAAAAAAAAGTTTTCGAGAATGTTGACGTTGTTATCGTTGTTGTTATTGTCGTCGTTGTTGTTGTTGTTCTTGTTGTTGTTTTTGTTGTCGTTGTTGTTGTTTGTTGTTGTTGTTTTGGTTGACTTTGATTCGAAATGAATGTCGATTCGATTTTAAACTCGTTTTTAAATTGTCGTAATTTTTTTTTTCTCATTTTATCAGGTTAAATCGTGCGATCGATTGATAAATAATAATAATTTTCTGACGTGATGAAACAAAAACAAATTATTATTATTATTATTATTATTATTTTGAAAATTTTTATAGAATTTAACGTTTTATTATTATTACTATTACTATTTTTCTTTAAATTTGATAATAATGATTGTCCTTAACATGTGAACCTATTGTTGCAAAAGTTTAAAGTTCATTCGTGATAAAAAAAAATAAAAATAAAAACGTTGCCGGGGCAAAACAAACCGGAGGAAAAAAAAAAAAAATAGTCAAATGACACGACGAAATATTGCCTGCCGCCACGACGATGATTTCCACGTTTTTTTTTTTTTTTTTTTTTTGGAAAATTCAAAATTGGTTTTTTTTTAATGTCGCAATTTGGCGATGTTCGTCGTGTGCGTAATAAATGAAGGCGTGCGTGAAATTTTGTCACGAATAATTTTTTCCTCTCCGCCTCTTCTACCCCACTCGATAAATTTTTATGGTAAAAACCCGATGGAAAGTTTTTCTTTTCTCTCTCTCTCTTTTTTTTTCGGAAGAGAAAGAGAGAGTGAGTGAGAGAGAAGATGGGAGAAAAAGTAGAGGCGGACAAAGAGAGAGAGAGAGAAAGGAAAAAACGTCGAAGGCTGTCGTAATACTTTTTTTTTTTTTGGATGTTGCATAATGACGGCGAAAAAAAATGACAGTAAATTATTATCATTATCATCACCACCGTCGTCATCATCATCATTATTATTATTATTAATATTAATATTAATTAGTTTGCAAATTAATTAAATGTTTAGTAGTTGTTTGTAATTAATTTATTCTTTATAATTTGTTTTTGTTTTTTTTTTTTCCTTAATTTTCTCCCTTTCTTTTCCTTTCTCTCTCTCTCTCTCTCTCTTTTTCTGTCTCTATCTGTCCCTCTCTCTCTCTGTCTCTCTCCCTGTCCGTTTCACTTCAAGTGTCCGTCAAAACTTTAATTTTTTTCAGGCGTTAAATTAATTATTTAGAAAATGTTCCGTTAATTAAAGTGTGTGTTACGTCATTTTGGAAATTTTGTTTGTTTGTTTGTTTTTTCCCCTTCGCTGAATTTGTTTGTTTGTTTGTTTTTTTGTGAATTTTTTATCAATAACGCAACCTTCCATTATACCTGTGCGTACCTGTAATTTTACTTTCGAACGCATGGTTTGATGTTATCATCATCATCATATTTACTACTTGCTGATGAGGGGGGGGCTTCAATGCCTGCACAACATTGGCTCGCAACAGGTCGATCTCTTGTTTTCCACTACACGTGCACCTTTTCGCCGAATTTTCCGTTCAATGTCGTCGTTTTCTCTTTTCCTTATCAGGTTTCTTTTTCTCTTTTTGTTTTCCTCTTACTCATGATAACAAACCCTTTTTTATTTTCCGGTAAAAGTTGCGTTAATACGACTCGGTTTCGTTGGGTTCTCGACACCCTGGAAAATTGCAGATTGAAGGAAGCCGGAAAAAATTTTTTTTTTTCCTGCCGTTGGCAATACTGTGTTTCAAAGTTTGAAAATTTCGATACGCTACCATGTAGTGAGAAATGAGACATTGAAAAAAAAACAGTCGATCAATCAATCAATTCATAAAAATTTTGGACCAGTCATAAATCATTTCGCTTTCTCCTTATCATCATCATCATCATCATCATCATCATCATCATCAATCGATTACCTGTTAAGTTTCCGATTACGGCACATGTATGGAATTCTTTAAACGAGAGAAAAAAAAAAAAAAAGTTTGCGTGATGACGTATTTTGTAAAACTAGTTTTTAAAAAAAAAAAATTGTTTTTTCGTTTTTTCATTTTTTTCCTTTATCCACGTCTCTCTCTCTCTCTCTCTCTCTCTCTTTCTCTTTTTTCCCGCCCCCCTCCCCCTCTACCCATTCGTCATTCGTATTCCGAAAAAACGAAAAGAAACGGATTTGAAATTTTTTTTTGCCCATTTTCGTGGGAAAAGTTCTTACTCGGATGCGTAATAATTATTTGGTCGCATTTATTTATCATAATTAAGCTTGATCGTGTCAAAAGAAAATGATTTCTTTTGATGACGTGTCAAAAGAAAGAAAGAAGGAAAAAAAAGTTTTCGAAAGTTTTTGTTATTCATCCGTATGACAAAAATAAATAAGAGTAGAAAATAATTTGTGCGACGATTTCTTTTCTTCCAAATTTGCTTTCGTTTGTTTTTCCCGGAAAATTGTTTTTAGTATTTGAATCATTCACGAATTTTTTTTTTTTTAGACTGCCGGAGAAAAAGCCATCGATTTTAGCGATCTGTGGAAACCTCGTGCTACGAAATCAACTGGCGGTACTCTATCGTCGTTACCGCCATCTCACGCAGCTCTAACCTCTTTCAAAAGATGGAGAAAACGTCATTCCGCGGAAAATCCTTCCACGGCCAAACATAACAATAACGAAGATGAAATGAACCTTTTGAAGTTTTTGGCATTGGTAGGTAGTAGTAGTTCTGCTTTCGTCTATTTTCCTTTGTTTTACGACTCTTTAATTATTATTATTATTATTATTGGTTGTTTTTTTTTTTTTTTTTGCGTTGGCAGAATGCTTTGGATTTAACGGCTCCGGCGAGTGACATCCTACTTAAAAATCGTAATAATAAATGGTTTCAATTGTCGGGTCATCCGGATTGTTTCGCACCGGCCGGACCCGGAACAATATGGAAGAAAAGATCGGGAGTCGACAATTCGGAGCGAGCCGTTTACGAAGCTCTTTCCGCGGATCCCGTTCTTCGCGATCTAGTCCCCAGGTATTTCCGAGAAGTCGAATATCAGGGAGAAAAATTCATTGAACTTCAGGATCTCCTCCACGGGTTTTCCGATCCGTCCGTGTTGGATGCCAAATTGGGAACGAGAACGTTTTTGGAGTCGGAAGTTCAAAAAACAACCGCCAGACACGATCTCTACCTCAAGGTAAGCGTAGTGAGTGTGTGTGTGTGGGGGGGGGGGGGTGTGCGCGTGAACCGAACGTTCGAGACGTGTGGAAAGGAAAGAAAAAAAGAAAACGCGACGGTGATGGTGGAGGTTCCCAGTCACCTGTAATGTTAAATTGGCAGCAAGACAATGTTGCCAACGTTTTCAGGTTTTTCTTTTTTCTTTCCACTCGGCTTCTGTTTTTCATTTCGCAGGTTTTTGAGTTTTCTGTCGTTTTGTAAACAATCCTTAATTTTTCTTTTATAAATTTACGGTTGAACGGAGCGCCGACAGCAAATAATCGATCCATTGTTTATTCAGTTTTCTTTGTTTTCAATTTTTAAAAAAATTTTTCTTTTTTTTTTTTTTTCCCTCGCAGATGGTTGCCGTTGATCCGAACGCTCCTTCCGCAGAAGAACACGCTTCACAAACGGTTACCAAATTGAGGTACATGCAATTTCGCGAGCAACAGTCTTCCACCTGCAGCCTGGGTTTCCGAGTCGAAGCCATGAAATTGAGGGGATCCCCCCCGGTTACAAATTTGAAAAAAGTCAAATCTCGAAAAGAAGTACTAGTCACGTTGTCTCTGTTTTTGGCGGGTAGAGAAGATGCGAGGAAAAGATTTCTCGTGAGGTTGAACGAGATAAGGTCCAAGTTGGAAGAATCTGCTTATTTTCAAAGGCACGAGGTGAGTTGAAACATCCGCCACACTACCATCAGGTCCCATCGTTGCTGGTGACGACGTCATTAATAATAATAATGGCGGTGCCTATGATTTCAGGTCGTCGGAAGTAGTCTGTTCATGATTTACGACGATCACAACGTCGGAGTTTGGCTCATTGATTTTGCAAAAACTTATCCAGTTCCTCCGGAAATTGTCGTCAATCACAGGCGGCCGTGGGTTCAAGGGAATCACGAAGAAGGTTTACTCTATGGATTGGATCAATTCATAAGCGTGAGTATTAATTCTTTCGATAGATACAGAGTCCGATACGATACGATACGATACCACGCGATCGATAATTAAATCAATATCGTTTTGGCAAAAAAAAAAAATATGGCGGAAAGGAAAGGAAAGGAAGGGGAGAGGGGAGGGAGAAAGAGAGGGGAAGGGAGGAAAAACATAAAATTAAATTAAATTAATAAGTCAAATTAAAGTTGAAGGTTTTTTTTTTTTAAAGTTTTTATTTAAAACAGTGCAGGTATTATTATCATCATCATCATTATCATTATCATTATTATTATTATTATTATGGTTGGGTTGACGTCAATGGGGTTGGGCTTGAGAGATTGGCTTGTTGCTTGACCGGCCGTGAAGTTTTTTTTTTTTTTTTTTTCAATACAAATTTTAATTCGCTATTAAAACTCATTACTTATTATTATTATTATTGGACGTGAAATTTCCACGACGTTTTTTTTCTTTTTTTTTTTTAATCCGCTCTCTGGAAGGGGGAAAAGGAAAAAAACAAACAAACAACAAACAACAACCGGAAAACGCGAAATTGTTGCGATTGTCGTTATCGATCCACGATTTATTAATTTTTTTTGTTTGTTTGTTTGTCGACAGGTTTTGGAAGAAGTCGATTGTTCGTCATTCAAAAGAACTGAATTCGATTCGAAATCGTGAATGGGAGGAAAATGATAATGATGATATTAATAATAATATTAATTATGATAATAATGAGTAAGAACAAGACGGTCAATATTTGTTTGTGTTCAACCGGAGATTTTTCGTTTTTTTTTTTTTTTTTTTTTTTTTTCTTGTAAATCACGATTTAATTGTATTTTATCGCCGAAAAGTCGAGCAACATGACTTGCTGACTCATGGTAAACAACAACAAAAAATAAAAGAAAGAAGAAGAAGAAGATGATGATGATGAAAGATGGAGTAAGGAAGGAAGAAGAAAAAGAAGAAGAAGAAGAAGAATTTGACGGGAAAAAGTTTTGCTTTCTTTTTATTTTTTTACAAATGTCGCTGGAGTTGCCAAAGAAATAACGATGCCAAAAAAAAAAAATAAAAAAACCGGAACCGGAAGGGGAAAAATGGAAGGAAAAAACAGAGAGAGAGAGAGAGAGAAAAATGGTGGCTGGATAAATTTTTTTAAAGTGATTAACGTCACGAAAAATGAAATTTTATTAAAATGTTTATTTATAAATTTTTATTTTCGTACACACTGCCAAAAACAATATAACGGTAGTAGTGACAGTAGTAGTGGTAGTAGTGGTTGTTGTTTCGTTGTAATAAGCTAAAAGAGAGAGAGAGAGAGAGAGAGTGAGAGAGAGGGGAGGAAAAGAGAGAAGAATGTAGTTTTTATGTAAAAGTTTCTATAAATAAAATATAAATGAAATCGATAGGTCAGAAATAAATTTTTTTATTATTATTGTAAAATTGTATTACGATGTCGGTTTATTGATCGATATGAGAGACGAGAACAACAACCGATACGATGATGGAAAAATACAATCAAAAAAAGGAAACGAAGTCGATGGATTTTACAAACGTATTTACGACGACGTTTCCTTTGTTTGTTTGTTTGTATTTTTCGAGACTTAATTTTCCAATAAATGATTGATTGATTATTTTGTAAAAAAAAGTTAAGAGAAATAAATGAAAATGTATTATTATTATTATTAGAAAATGAAAATCGTAAATGAATAATTTAATTATATTTATAATTGATTAAAATGTTGTTTGTACGATCTCTTTCTAATGAATGAATTGTAAATTTTTTTTGTAATGATGTTAATAATGTTATTTAAAAATAATAAATAAAAATGTTTTTTTTTTTTTTTTTATGTACGCACAAAAAGAATGAAATTTTTTTCTATTTTTAATTTTAAATTGAGGAAAGAAGTAAGAAAACTTCCGTTAATATTTTCCATTGAATTTTCGTTATGTCCGTTTTCGAACGTGCGAATAACATTCAAATTATGTTTATCTATTTACACGACGTTTGAATATCGTTTGCCGCCATAGCATTAAATTTAACCTATTTAACCTTGAGTCCCAGTTTAAATATAAGTTAAAGTTAAAAAAGTTTTTGAACGATTGTATTGTTTCTTTTTTTTTTTTTTTTTATTATAAATATTATTAATTGGTGAATATTTATAAATAATGGCTGGACGTTTCGGTCTTGTTAAATTAGGTCCCCCGATAGAAGTTTTTGCATTAAATAGAGCATATCTCGAAGATGAAAATCCGAATAAAGTAAATTTAGGAGTTGGTGGTAAGTTTTGTGATTGAAATTGAAAATCCCAATCGAAGGATAAATAAAATATTTAATTGATTTATTTGATTTCGTCGTTTTAAATACTTTAGCTTATAGAACTGATGAAAATAAACCATGGGTTTTACCGGTTGTCAAAAAGGTTGAAAAAGCTTTAGCTGAAGATCCTTCACAAAATCATGAATATTTACCCATATTAGGTTTAGATGCTTTTACTAAAGCAGCTACTAGTATGCTATTAGGAGAAAATAGTCAAGCTTTAGCCGAAGGAAGGGTCAGTTTTTTTTTGTTTGATTAATTACAATTTTGTTATTATTATGCCAGAAGAAAAGATAAAAAAGGTTTTATTTACATGAATATATATTTTAGGCTTTCGGAGTTCAAACCTTAAGCGGAACAGGAGCATTAAGAATTGGTGCTGAATTTTTATCGAAAATATTAAAATATAATACATTTTACTATTCCAAACCCACATGGGGTATGTTTTGTCTATAAACAATCACCAAAAAAAAAAAAAAAAAAAAAGTGTTTAATTAATTAGGTAAGTTAAAATCATTTGAATTTTATTATAAAACTTTTGATGCAGAAAATCACCATTTGGTATTTGTGAACTCTGGTTTCACTGACCCACATACTTATACTTATTGGGATCCTAAGACTAAATCTATTGATTTTGAAGCAATGTGCAAGGATATTAGTTCTGCACCTGAAAATTCAGTCATTATTCTTCATGCTTGCGCTCATAATCCGACAGGATGTGATCCGACGAGAGAACAATGGATGTTACTCGCAGAAATAATGAGGGTAATTTTCATTTAAGGGTTAATCATATTAATTATTTACTATTGATATTTAATCACTCATCACAGACATTCAATAACGACCCAACTCCCCAACAACAAAAAAAAAATTTATTTAAATAATTTTTCACATTTTTGTTTTTTTTTTTACACGCTCTTGATTTTCAATAATCGGGTCAAGAATTTATTACAAAATATCTCCTTTCGAAAACAAATTAGATAATTACATGTGTATATTAATAATAATAATAATAATAATAATAATAATAAAAGCCTTGAAGCAAAACTCACAGATAGATTATCTGAATTTTTTTAAATTTAAATTTTGAGTTCTTACAGGTATTTTATTATAGGCCAAGATAAGTAAAGTTTTTATCTTTTATTGTTTATTTTATCAAATGGGAGAGAAAGAGAAGGAAAGAAAATCACTTGCTCACTCACTCACACACACACAATTTAATACCATGTTGACCCGTTCAAATAATAATAATAATAATAATAATATCAATTTTTATAATCGTCGTTTGATGTAATGCCACGATAATATCGTCGAAACGACTTACATAACAATCGACACTTGAAAAAAAAAATGAATGACATTGATCGCGACATTTTTCGAAAGGGTTAACTAATTAATTAATTAATTAATTAATTAATTTTGTTACCAGGCCGTTTTATTTTTAATAATTTTAAGTATTAAAAGAACAACAACAAACATAACGTTTGTCGTTGTTTGTGTTGCGTGTGACTTGTTACGCAATAATAATAATATATTTAATTACGAATGAAATAATAATAAAAAATTATTATTATTATTATTGTCCTCGTGTTATTAATAATTTTTTAATTACCGTAATAAATATGTTGTTTTTTATTTATTTATTGTTTCGTAACACGCACACGCACAACCGTTTGTTCGTTCGTTTGTTTGTTTGTCGTATTTTAAATAAATAAATAAATAATTAATTAATTAATTAATTCAATCACAATCGAACCGATTAATAAAATTTTAATCGAGGTCAATAATACGTCAAATTAATTAATCGGATTTTATTGTACGTTAAAACGGAAATGGAAATAATAATAAAAAAACTATTATTATTATTATTATTATTATTTTACGACCGTTGTCCGTTTGATTTATGACTGGTGACGTCACGACGTCTTCCTGTCGTTCCCTTTATTTAAACAAAAAAGCTCCTTTACAGCATCTGTTGTTACAATATTATTATTATTATTTGTATTCCAGGAAAAGAAACTTTTCCCGTTTTTCGATTCGGCTTATCAGGGATTCGCATCCGGGGATTTGGATGAGGATGCTTGGGCCGTACGATATTTTGCCGAACAAGGTTTTGAAATGCTCGTCTCGCAATCATTCGCTAAAAATTTCGGACTTTACAGTACGTGGAAATATGAAGGGAGGAGAGAGGGAGAGGGGGAGAGGGGAGACGATAATGATAAGAGATTTTCTTTTTTGTTTTTCCAGACGAAAGAGTTGGAAATTTGACTTTCGTCGTCGCCGATAAATGCGTTATACCATCGATTAAATCTCAAGTAACGATTATAATAAGAGGAATGTATTCGAATCCACCCAATCACGGTTGTCGAATCGTTGCCACGGTTCTCAATAATCCAGAATTGTATAAGGAATGGTACGTGTTGGGTTTGGTTCCCCCTCCCTCCCTCCCTCCCCTACTCCTCTTCCCTTCTCCGGGAAATTTTTTTAAGTTTCGTTTGAATTTTTCTTCCAGGAAACAATGCATTAGAATAATGTCGAATAGAATAAAAGAAATGAGGAAAGGTTTGAAGGAAAGGTTGCGAGATTTGAAAACTCCAAACGATAACAAATGGAATCACATAACCGAACAAATCGGAATGTTTTCATATACTGGACTCAATCGTGAGAACCTTTTTTTTTTTTTAACTCAATCACGTGTAAACGGGAAAATTATCATTATTATTATTATTATTGTTTTCGTTTAGCCGGACACGTGGAACTCCTTCGTCAAAATCATCACGTTTACATGTTGAAATCCGGTAGGATAAACATGTGCGGTTTAACGTCGAAAAATTTAAATTACGTTGCTGCTGCCATACACGATGCCGTCACGTCCGACAACAGTATTTAATGACGTCACAATTTTAAAATAGTAGTCAGTCAAAGACAACAGTTCAAAAGTTCGAACAAAATGAGTTTATTCGAACGGACGATCCTCTCCATTCCAGAACGAAATAAAAATTGATTGATTGATTGATTGATGGGAAAAAATTCTGGAAAAATATTTTTTAGTCGACGATGCAAGATTTTCATTTGCAATAATAATGATGATAATAATGATAATATTCAATAAAAAGCAAATGTTTAAATCAAACATGTTTGACAAAAAAAAATGGAAAATGAATTTTTTTTTTTTTTAACGACTCATATTATTTTATTATATTTTTATTTATTTATTTTATTTTATTTTTTTTTTGAAATATAATATACATGTATATAAATATATATAAATATGTATATAAATTATTGTATAAAAAAAAAAAAAAAAAAATTAAACCCTATTCCAATTCGAAAAATAATAATAATAATAATAATAATAATAAATACACAGTCAATAACGAGGATGTTGTTTTGATGAACGAATGTCATAAATATTAACAACAAAAAAATTAAAAATTAAAAATTAAATGCTAATAAATATTAAAATAAATTAATCATTACAAAATAATAATAATAATAAAACGAGAGAGAGAGAGAGAGAGAGAGTATATCGCGAGGGGTCATAATTTAATTAAAACATGATGGAAATTAATAATAATAATAATAAACAATTACGAGAGGGGACGGGAGAGGAAACGTTAGAGATAAATAAAAACTTTTAAATAATAATCGATGACGTTTTCACATATAATAATAATAATAATAATAAATTAATTTCCCCCCCTTCCTCCTTCTAAAAAATTTCGTCTTTCTCATCCGGTAATTAATAATTTTTTATTAAATAATTTTTCCGAGGGAAAATGCGCGCGCGCGTGTGTGTGTGTGAAAATTCCGTACGATTAAGAAGAGTTCAAAAGTTCATCATCACCGCCATCTTGAATTCCGGTCACGACCCGGATTGCGGTTTTTTCTGCGGTGAAATTTTCATATTGTCGAACCCGAGAGCTTGTTTAAGTAAACTCACGACGCTTTTCCTTTCCGATTGTTCGCTTTCTGGAAAAGACAAAACAAAATAATAATAATAATAATAAGAAAAACTCGCTCGACCTTCCCTCGCCTTCCCTATTTCCCTTCTCCTTATTACCTTCGGATGAAATTTTCTTTTCCAAATTTAATTTTTCCAACGCTACTTGATGTATGTTTTCCTCAATCGTATTTTTCCCGATGAATTTATAAACGGAAACCGGCCTGGAAAAAAAAAAAAAAAAAAAAAAAAAAAAATTTTTCTTTTTACAGACGACGAACGAACCTGAAAGAAACGGAAACCGTAAACCGAAAACAAAACATTATCAATTACTTGGTTTGGCCAACCCTGTGACATCTGTCTTCTGCTTGTTTATCATTGTACGGATTAAAATCCATATCGTGGATTATCACTGTATCGGCTGCTGTTAAATTTATACCCAAACCTCCTGCTCGAGTGGACAATATGAAAACAAATATGGACGAATCTTCATTGAACGCATCGATCAATTCTTGCCTATAATAATAATAATGATAATAATAATAATGATGATAAAATTTCAACACGATGACGTAGGATTCCTTTTCTTTTAAATTACCTTATTATTACTTGAGTGCTACCGTCGAGCCTTAAATATTTATGTCCTCTTATTCTCAAATATTCTTCCATTACGTCTAACATGATGACAAATTGACTGAATATTAAAACTCTGTGATTTTCCTCTTTCAATTTGGGTAACATTTCATCTAATTTTTGAAATTTTCCAGATTTTACAAATTCTTCGTCTTTCAATTCGTATTCCGACAAACTCTACAAAACAAAAGTCATCATCATCATCTCCATTACTTTAAAAAAAGTAAAAATCCCGCAGGAATCCTTGATGATACCTTGAAAGATTTACACAGGGCGTGAATTTGATAATCGGACATGACACTTAAATCTTCGATTATGTAACCGACGTTTGTCTCTTTGTAATCTTTTTCTTTCGCCAATATTTTCGCAATGGATTCCAATTTATTTTCATCGTAAATTTCCCGGAGCAAAAGCGGATGATTACTTAATTTTCTTAAATCCATCATCATGGAAAGACCGCTCACCTCATCAATGTCTTCTTTTGTCTAAAACAAAACAAAACAAAAAATGTAAATATAATCGACATCATCGACTCCATGTTGATGATGATGATGATGATGATGATGATGCTCACGTTTTTATTTTCCGTTTTTTTCGAAAAAGTCGATATTAAATTTTCGTATTTGAATTTTTGTTTTTCAATCATTTCGCAATAAATAATTTCTTCCGTTTTCTTCGGCAAATCTTTCAAAACGTCTTTTTTAAGTCGCCTCAATACAAAAGGTTGCATTATTTTTTTCGCTTGTGACACTTGTTCCTGTTCAAATTTCGGTATTGTTTCTATCGTTGCACCGTTTGTTTTCTGCCAAAGAAAATAAATAATAATAATAATAATAATAATAATTTTCGTAATCGATTAATTTAACGGTAAAAAAAAAATGAGTACGGTACCGTTTTAACATTTCGCGTAAATAGGCACTTGAGATATTCCTTTTTCTTGGCAAACATTTCAGGCATGACAAAAGTCAGGAGTGACATGAGCTCTAATAAATTATTTTGCAATGGAGTTCCCGTGAGCAATATTCTATGTTTGGCCTGTAAAAAAAAAAAAAAAAATTAATTATTATTACAATTTAAATTAAAAAAAAAAAAAAAAAGGGAAGATTAATAAAACCGTTAATTACGTTAACTCTCATCAAATTTTCAAAACGTTGAGTGTTCATATTTTTCAACATGTGAGCCTCATCGAAAATGACGTAATTAAAAGGAAGAACTTTGAACATTTTTTTCTCCTCCGAAGTACTCGTTATTAAGTTGTACCTGCCGAAATAAATAAGAGTTGTTAACTTTCAATTTGTATTTGGTGTGACGAATAATTTAAAAAAAAAACTCACGTCGTAAGAATGACATCTAAATCCTTAATGCCATGCTGTGAAAATTGAATTCTCATCGCTTTCCTTTCATCCATTGATCCGTAGTAAAGAAAAACTTTCAATGACGGACACCATCTTTCCAACTCGTTTCTCCAATTGTCTGAAATTCGATAAAAATTTAATTATATGATGACGAAAATAAAAATCATTTTAAACGTCCTAATAAAAAAAAAATACCCATGGTCGAAGAAGGAACTACGATTAGATGAGGATTACTCCCGTCACCGTCGCCATTTTCGTTTTTCTCAGACATTTCTTGAAGGTATGCTAGAAATGCAATTATTTGTACGGTTTTACCCAGACCCATTTCATCTGCTAATATTCCATTTAAACCTTTGTGATGAAGAACGAGCAACCAATTCAATCCAACCATTTGATAACTTGCTAATTTTAAACTGCAATGTAAAAAAAAAAATTTTTTTTTGATTTTTCATAAATAAATTTATACATGAACGAATGAAAGAAAAATAAAATCATTGTAAGGTGAACACACTTTTCGTTTAGGAGTTTAGGCTGCACTGTAACATTTGAAGTACCAGCAGAAACAGCTTTTTCCATTTCGATAGCTAAACGAGAACATTTTTGCATTAACTGATTAACAACTTGTCTCGTGTAGAGCACTTCTTGTGCGTAATTTAAAATTTCTGTGCCTAAATTTTTTCCTTCTTGAAATTTTTCCACCTGATAAAAATAAATGAATTCAAATATATAATGATTTTATTATTACTAACCAAAATCTGTGCACTAAAAGTTTCAATAGGAGATTTTTACCATATTTTTCCATCCGGAAAATGGTCTTTGATCTAAAATGGCTTCCGCTTTTTTTTGCGAACAATTGGGCATGCAAAGTAATTCAGACAATTCGGCTGTGGACAAAAATTCATACACTTTCCTTTGTTCTGTATTCATGTCATCAGTAATTTCAACATCTGAATCTTCCTCACTTAAAAAACAAGTTCAAAATTAAAATTTTAAAAAATTTTAATTATAAGAGCATAAATAAATAAATAAATGAAATTAACCTATCGTAAACTTTTTGATCCTGCTTTTTAAATCCAATCTCATCTTCGGAGTCTTCACTTTCGTCGAAAACACTTGTGTTCTTTACTAAAAGTACATTATTTATAAGTATTATTATTAAAATGTCAATGATTTATAGTTTTTTTTTTTACATTTTTGTTCTACAAACCTCTTTTATATTTTTTAGCTTTAGGAACTGATGATTCACCATTTGTAGCACTAAAAGGTCTTTTAACTGGAGAACATTTTTCTGCTAACTTTTCAACAATGCTTACGCCTTGATTCTTAAAGCACTTATTATTAATATTTTCAAATAATTTAGTTCTAAAATTTTTATTTTTCTCCTCTTCATCAGCTTTACTTTCATTCACTGGATTTCTTTCTGCGTCTGCTGACACTGCAGACGGTTTATCAAGATTTAGTTCTTTTCTTATAACCGATTTAGCAGCCTCAACATCCCCTTTGCATTTAATTAACGATCTTTCGAGTATCTACAAACAGTGAATAAAAAAATTTATCGATTTTTTTTAATAAGACAAATTTTCAAAAAAAAAATAAATAAATAAATAATTAAAATGAATCAGTAATATATTTTATAAATGATGAATTAAATTAATTACCAAGGAACTAATGTTTGGAAAATTTTCTTTTAAAGCTTTCAGGGCATTTTCGGAAACAGCATTTTTATTAGGAGATTTTTCTTTTACTTTCTCCTCGAATAATCTTTGGTTTGAATCACAGTTTTGAGAAGGTTTTTCTGACGAGGAAAGAGATTCATTTTTAAATGTATCTAAAATTAATAAAAATTATTAAAAAACAATAAAATTTAGTTACATTTAAATTACATGAAAAAAGACCAAGAGAGAATCAAGGTGTAATTTAACTTACTGTCAGGCTCTGATTTTTTATCAGGATTATCATCGTTATTTAAATGATTAGTATTTTTTTTTTGAAATCTAAAATGTCGAAGATTGGACAATAAATTTTGAGATGATTTTGTACCAATGCTATTTGACATGATAAGATAACCTAAACTGTTTCAGAGGGGAAAACAAAACAAAAAAAAAAAAAGTAACTGGTTTTATATCAGGAATAAATATTTGTGTAAAAAATAATTGAATTTTTACATAATCAATTTTATTAACTTAACTTAACACCCGTATAACAACAAAAAAGGAAAAAAAACAAAAACAAAAAAAAAAACATAAAAAATTAAAAACTATTAAAACTATACAACTTAAAGTACGTTCAGAAATTAATGACATCTTTACGTTACGCCAAATGTAAAAAAAGGGCCCTGAAAATATATACCTTATTTGCAATACCTTTTTTTACGAAGAATAATTTTCAATAAATTTAAATGATAAAAAACTAAATTATATATTTATTAAAACTATTATCATATTAATAACTTTACGTTCGTAAATAAAAATCATTACAAAATAATTTTCTTTCATTTTCATACGCCATTTTAAATTTTTCTTACCATCCTTTTCTTCGGATGATTTGTCCAAGCCATCTTTGATTCCCCAATTACAAAATAAAAATAAATTTTTCTTTTGATTTAAATCAAATTTGGATAATTTTTTCCCCCGCAATGTCAATCCGTTTAAATTTAAACTTTTAAAAACTTTTAAACTTATTTTTAAAACAAAAAGCGCAGTCTCAAATATTATCGATTTATTTAATATTTTTAATATAATCTGTAGTAGCTTTTTACTGCAAAACAATCACATATATATTTTTTACATAACATTTTGCCGGTAATAAATTTTTTATAAAAGTTATGAATTAATAATAATTTAGAAAAAAAAAAAAAAAAAAAATGACACCGTTTAATGATTTTATGTACGTTCTTAATGCGATACTTTTAGGTGAAGAACCGGTAAATATTATTAATAATTTAAATGTTTAAATTTCCTTTTTTTTTTTTTTTTTTATTTAAAATTACTGTTTTTTATATATTTTTCAGACGATTGAAGATTTTATATTATTAATCGGTACATTAGTTGCATTTATTGCTTTTATATTATGGTGTTGCTGTCCGGCAGTACCTAAAGAACCGAGAACTCCAACACAATACGATTCAAAAAGTTATGGACAACAAAAAAAATTAGAAGATGCTTATAATTATGAAATAAATTCTCATCTCACATCCAAATGACGAAACAATAATATTTATTTATCTTATTGTCAAGAAAATAATCCATTTTTTAAAACCACCAATCCAACGGTTGTAGGTCCAACAAAAAAGGGTAATTCTTGAAATAATCTATTTTTTTTTTTTTTTTTTTTTTTTATAATATTCAATAAATATCATACATATATTGAATTTATTTCTTTTTTAAACTTTCAAGCTTTGAGCTTTTTTCATTCATTCTTCCAACTAGGATTTAAATTAAAATTTTTTTATACATAAAATAAAAAAAAATATTTTTTTAAAATGTACAAATGTATGAAGAAAATTATTATTATTATAAAATTTTCGATTTGATTTTTATTTTTATTTTTATTTTTAAATATTTTTGAATACCATTGTTAATAAAATTAATAATAAAAAAAAAAAAAAAAAAAAAACAAAAAAACATTTATTTGTCCGTTAAAAATCATCTTCCGTTTCAAAATAATTAACTTCGGATGATGTTGCAGAAACGGCATAAGTACTTTGGTATTGTAAAACTTCTTTTTCACTTTTTAAATGATAATAACCAAAACTGGTACACTGGACACAAGTAGATTATTAATAGAAAAACAACCTATTATTATTATTATTATTAATAAATTCCTTACGGTGGCTGCCGTTCCGTAGAGAAACGTTTGATGAAGTTTACTATCGGATGGATATGACAATCCGGCAAGAGAATAATTTAAATCTTTTATTTGTTTTTTCTTTTTGTATTCTTGGAATTTACGAGATGATGTTCTCGCTATGAAGTCGAGTTCGTTGATGGCTTCCAAACCGTCCGGCAACTGACATTCTTTTATCAAATTATAAAATTCGTATTCGTCGTCGCTACCCTAAAATAATATTAAATGAATTTATTATTATTATTATTATTATGGTCACTCCTAAACGCGACACGGTTCTTATTCGTCGAGATGTTTTTATTCCAGGTTTCTACCCGACGATTCCTTAGGGATAAATGTTCGAATTTCGTTGGTGCTGCCGTCCCGCATAGTGCGATTTCCTGGATGGTTTCTTCTTCTTCTTTTTAATTCTTCTTTGAATTTCCTTTTATTGAATGTGGTGGTGGCATGGCTCCCAGTGCTGCTCCCACGATGATCGTACTTCCCCCACATTCCTTCGTTCCTTCAGCCTTTTGTCTGCTTCTTCGGCTATCTTTATTTCCGCCGAAACGGATACTTCAATCAGTTTACACCATTTTCCCGCATTATGCACCTCAGGATGATATCCGGTTCGTTGGCTGGCACACAATTCTGTCAGTGTGAATTTGTGCTGATCGTACAGAAACCCGTATGAACCTGCTGTCGTAACCGGGGTTTGTACCACTCCTTGGGTAATCCATTCATTCCATATTCTCGGCATATATTCCAATGGAGATATTGACACATTTTATTGTGCCTTTCCTAAGTGCTCATGTTTTGCCAGTATCGGACAACCGGAAATTAAATGGTCGATGATTTCCGATTGTCATTATTATTATTATTATTATTATTGTATTGTAGGAAAAATACTGTACTACTCACATTTTGTTTCTGCAGTAACACGATTCCTTCTTGCATCGTTTTGATTCTTGCTGCCCAATTGATTTTTTCTTCCAATAAAGTGCATAACATTTTACCATCGAAAGCCGATGGGAAAACTCCGCTGAAATCCGCATCCCGCAATACTTCAAACCAAACCTCTCCCATTTTTAATAACATGTAATATTCGATTAAAGGAATATAAGCCTGGAATGGGGTAGGAAAAAAAAAATAAAATTTTTCAAATCACGTGACATATTCGACATGATTATTTTGAAAAATATTTAACCTTATACGAAGACCGAACTTCTTTTAAATACAACGAATAAAAAGATTCGCTCAGATTCGTTATGTCTCGATAACGTTTTTGCAAATGTTGATACAAGGCGTGAATTTTAGGTCTTGCACTGCACATCATTTCCGCTATGGAAGGCGAACAAAGATGACTGTCCAATACCTGATGAGTTACGTACCATTGTTCTTCCGTCATGAGAGGCATGTCGATGTCTGTAATAATCACATCGTAATATAAATAAAAATAATAATAATAATAATAATAATTAAAAACTAAGCCTGGCCTTCTTTTCCCTTTATTATATTATCATTATTATTATTATTATTATTAACATGGATGTAAACGTACCTTGAATAATTCCATCACTCGTCCTGTGAACTTTAGTTAGAAATTCTTCCTTTCGCCATATTTCAATTAGTAAATCTAATATTCCCAAACCGTTTTTACCGCGCCACGTCACCAAATGAGTTATGGTTTCACCACCGTGACTCATTTCGACCAAACTACCCAATAGTAACATTTGAACGGGAAATGAGCTGGACTTTAAAGAGAAAAATACTAAGTTCGTGATGTTCAACGTGATGTTGACATCACGTTAAAAACAAACCAAACGAACCTGAATTTTACCTCGATTATGTCCAAGAGTAAATAAATTCCATTTCTTTCGACGAAGGTTTTCAACGACGTTTTGCACCACGCAATGGATTCCCATAGGAAACCACCGAAACTCACCAACAATTTCGGATTTAATTTACTGTCCGAATTTAAATTTTTTTTTATCCTTTCCAAAAACATGATGGCTACGTTAACGCACGACTCCCCATATTTATCTAAAGCTTTCGTATTATTCGTTAATAATCTTTCCAGTACGACGAATAGCATTGTAAGTTTTTCCTGATCTTCCAGTTTTATCGATTTTATGTTTAGCAAATACGTGCATACATCTAGAGAACAAAACGATTAAACTTTCAACCATTTTATTTTTTCTAAACGACATTTTAGTTAAAAAAAAAAAAAATATAACCGAAAATAACGGTTATTCCGTCTTGTGCCATTATATCTTCTATCAGTATTTTAAAATTTCCTCTCGTGAGAATAAACGATAAAGTTTTCAAAATTTGCAATAGTGAATTCCTATCGAAATGATCATCCAAAAGCCATTGCACGGTCGACAAAATTCTAAAAACAAAAAAAAGAAAAGCTCGTGAAATTTTCACGTGGTTTTCACGTGGGTGTGTTTTGTCTCGTACATTGCATTTCCGTTCGAGAGCACGAATACTTCCGGAAGCAAGGGTACCAATTCGGAAAGAGTTCTCAGGGCAATGTAAAATAAATCCATGTATTGACTAGGATTCCACGGTGCCGTCACTCTCGGATTAACTAAACATAATAGACCTTGTATCACTTTTGAATATTTTAGTACCTGTGGAAAAAAGAAATCAAAATGTCGTTATTACTTTTATTATATCCGCGTGAACGTTTCAAAAAATTTTACTTGAATCGTATTTTCATCTTTTTGTATGAGACAGCAATTCAATAACATAAGTTTTTTTAATACAAAATCTTCTTTTTTTGTTCCCATTGTAAGACCTTCCAACCATGTACCTTCCGTCGATATTTCTGTTGCTACTGATATTAGAGCTATATCTACAGTTGTTATGACATTTTTATTTTTTTAATTTTTTTTTTTTCAATCATTTTACGTATTCGCGATAAAATCAAAACTTTTACGCACCTTCCACCAAACCGGATTTCATGATGGGCAATTTTTCGCGGAAAACGGCGCATAACTTAGCAATCAAACCGGCCAAGTTGTTACAAATGATTTTAGATTTCGGAGTTCTCTTTTTAAATTCTTGTTCGAAAACGATTCTCAAATTTCTGTAAACGAATAAATCTCTTAGTAAAATCACAAAAACGGAGAGTTTGAGTATAAAATATTAAATAAGGAAGAGAAAACTGACAACATTGCAAATTCCGATGGGCACAACACTTCGGATTCGTCGCTATTTAAAATGGACAAAAAAATCCACATCAAATAACTCGATTTGTTTAATAAAACGTAATAATGTTTCACAAACTTTTCTTCTTCCGAATTGTTTGATTGCTCCACCGAAGGTTCGGGAAATTCCGAAGAATTTAACCTTTGCAAAATGTATTCCAATATGTTGTTTTTCAACAATGCATGCCCTGAAATATATTTTCAGTTAATTACAATGCAAATTTTTAAAACGGTTAAAATTCCTACACCCACCAGCTTTGGTAGATCCGAATGCCATTTGGAGAGCGATTTCCAAATATTTAAAATATAAACTTTCAGGTATCGTTTCAATAAGGGTTGCTATTATCGAAGGCAACTGACTATTTTCCATGGCTTCGCGACACGCATCCAATCTAACGGCTGCCACATCCGTCAACTTTCTTCTTGTTATGAGACATTCGATAGCGTCTAATATTTGAATTTGAAAATGTTCCTCATCGAAAGTGGCTAAAAGCTCACCTGTAATATATATCATAAAAACGAATTAATTATTATAAAAGCCTCCCAACCCTAAAATTTAGTTTTAAATAAATTTACCCAACAGCGTAAAATAATCAATCAAACTGTTTTTACATCGCAATATATCCGAACTTTTTCCCATCAATGGCGGTTTATCAACGCGACATAATAAAATTTTAACGAATTCTGTAAAATTCGAATCTAAATTCACGTTTCGTGAAAAATATTCAATTAATTCAATCAGATATGGTAAATCTTCGACAAACTAACAGAACGAATGTTAAGAAACGTGTATTGTCCAAAACAAAATCAAAAGTATTTTAACAAGTATTGTTAATCCAAAAAAAAAAGGATACGTAACCGGAAGGACATCCTTGAAGATACTTGGAAATTAATTCTTTAATTCTATTCGTAAACGGTTGCGTACATTTATTTCTTATTAATTCTATTAATTTTTTTAATGCTTGCTGCGAATTGAGAAGATATTTCCCATCTATGACAATATCGCAGGGCCCGTATTTTTTTCCCTTTATCGTTCCTAAATCATTATTATCTTCTACGGTCGTGTTACTCTCACTCGGAGATATCATGTAATCTCTTTGATCGAATGGCGGTCCGCTTACGAACCAAATACTTTCGCATTCTCCATCCAGAGAATTTGACGTCACCGCTTCACCGGAATTTTTTTGCGACATCTTTTTTAAATTTTCCATTATTGAACATAATATTTTTATATATATATATAAATTATTTGTATGTAATCACGTGTGAATTGTAAACAAAACTCAAATCTAAAATTTAAAATAACCTCATCTTAAATATTATTTGGATTTAAATTAAAAAAAAAAAAGAACAAAGAATTGTACCTTACTTGTCAAAACATTCACCATTGGAAATCTTGTCGTAATTCCCAAATCCCTTCCCCGTTCGAACCCCTATGAAACTCACATATTTCATTTAGGAGAGCTTTGAAAAGAGGAGTTTGACCCGAGGGTAATCGATCTTTAAACCTACAGAAAACAATACGTAAAAAATTATGGACGAAGAAGCATCCCTAAGACGTTTTAACTTTTCGACGATTGAATAGAAAAAAAAAAAAAAAACACAAACTTGTCGACTATTTCTTGAGTTGAAGCTTTATTTTCCACTTCCGCACCGAAAGATATAAAATTTCTAATGTCGGCCAACAGTTCGGAATTTTCATCCAATGATGATGAAGATGAAGAATCCGATGCGGAGGAACTCATTCCGTTCCGTTGACGAATACGTTGTAACAATTCCGATGACGTCATAATTTTTTCCTGCGAAAGAAAATGTCGCTCAAGTAGTATTTATAATGATAAATTTTAAATACGTTGACGTTGAGAAAATAAAAAATATTTACTTTATTTTCATCGGTGTTCCCGGATCCCGGTCGTCGTCGAAATGATTTTTTCCCGAATCTTGCCTTATGGGAAATACTCGAAGACGTTTCATTAAAACTAAGCACGTATTGTCTTCTTGATTCTTTTAATGCTTTCACAGCCTCCTTAGCAACTTTTTCAGCTTCTCCTTCGACTAAAGCATAATCACTCGAATTTTCACCCATTATTTGATCGTGTTTTAAAGCGGATTGTACGCCTAAATTCAAAAAAAAAAAAAAAATCAACGAGTGAGAGTTAAATAAATAAAGGAAAAACAAATTTTATTTTTTATTTTTTATTCAACCTGATTTAGAGAATAATTTTTTCAATATGTAATCATCATCTTTTTCAAAATTATAAGCATTTTTAATGACGTCTCTGTAATTTTTTTTCTTTTTCAAATGAGGAATGAATTCACCATCGAAATACGCATCGTTGGAATCTTTTTTTTTCTCTTTTTTTTTCCCCTTTTTCTTATCCCTTTTTTTTTCTCGATTATTTACTAATTTTAAATTTTCTACATCGGTTATCGAATCGTTATTTGTTCGATGTGTAGGATCGCCAGGATTTTCAGGATTTTTATCTTTCGAACTTGAGTTCAATGCTATTTGTCGACTCAAAATTTGTGCCATTTGTTTCATTTTTTCAATTTTTTCTTTCGTTAATATTTTTTGAGCCTCCACGGCATTTTGTACAGATTCCGGTTCGATCGATGATAAATTCTTCTTTGATTTTTCCTTTTTTTTTCGCAGCTGAATATTTTTTAAATTTAATTCGAAATTCGTACCGGCGAATATCGCCGAAGTTTCGTTTGAATATTCGTCGTCTTTATAAGTAAATAATTCGTAGAGATCGTTGCTTTTAAAAAATCGCCTTTGACTTGGATCTTTCAACACTTTATTAGTTAAAAATTGTTTAAATATTTGCCGGTGATAAATTTTTTCTTCGATCGTTCCAGAAGTTACGAGCCTGTATATCGTGACTTGATTTTCCTGTCCGATTCTCCATGCTCTTTCACGTGCTTGCATATCCGTGGCTGGATTCCAATCTGGATCGTAAATGACAACTCTATTCGCACCAGTTAAATTTACTCCCAATCCTCCCACGTGAGTAGTTGATAAAAATATGTAATATTTTTTTTCCTGTAATAATTCAAAGATATTTTTAGTGCATGGGAAAGGCATGTCTCTAAATAAAAACAAACAAAAAACGATTCGTTACTTCATTGAATTTATTGATCAAAGGTTGTCTGCTCCCTATGTTAGTCGTTCCATCAAGTTTCAAGTACTCGTAGTTTTGCGACAAAACAAAATTTTCAAGAATCGACAACATTTTTCTACTTTGAGTAAAAATTAGAACTCTATGCCCTTGTTTTTTCCAAATTTTTAACAGCGTTTCCATAACGATCATTTTTCCAGCTTTTTTCCAATAACCAAATTTATTTTCCTCCGGTATGAATTCTAAATCGTCCTAAATTTAAATTTTATATTTATATATAAAAGGATTAAAATTGAAATAAATAATAAAATATATTTACTGACCAGCTTTACATGCTTTGGTCCCCCCGAATATAAATGAGGATGATTACATATTTTTCTTAGATTTATCAAACCTACAAAAAGTTTTTGTTTTCCGTTAAAAATTTCGTTAACGCTTCCAGAATTTAAATAATTAACGTATAATTCTTTTTGCTCGTTGGTCAGCCTGCAAAACAAAACTTGTTCGTTTTTCGGTGGGAGATTAATGTGAGTTTTGACATCTTCTTTAGCTCGCCTCAAAAGATAAGGAGAAATGGTATCGCGAAGTACGGTTGCACATTTGTACGCAGTCAAAACTTGAACTTTTGATGCATTGGCATAACCTCCTTGAGTTATCGGTACTCCAAACTCTGCCAGAAAAACGGGTAGAGTTCCCAACTTTCCAGGAAATATAAAATCAAATAACGACCATAGTTCCTTTAAATTATTTTGAATTGGTGAACCGGAAAGAATTAAACGGTGCGGAGTATTCAATAGCTTGATATTTATTGCTATTTGAGAATCTGGATTTCTAATTTTATGACCTTCGTCCAAGATAACGTAATGCCATTTTTGCCTTTGAAGATCGCTACTTTGTTGCAGGCAGGTGATGTATGAAGTGATAAGAATGCCATTAGATTTTATAATATTCTTAATCAAATCGTATTTTTTACCTGAAATAAAATAATTATTAACCAGTGGAACTGAATTTCAACAATGCAATTAATACGACGTAAAAAACAAATATTGAGAAAAATGGCGTACGCACCGTGATACGTTCCCGATTCGTGTAATAATGCTACCCTAAATTGAGGCCACCATTTGTGAAATTCCCTAACCCATTGATGCATGACTGTGGTGGGACAAACGATTAAAACGGGGCCAAGTCCTCTAAAATAGCCATGCCTAGATAATAATTTACTAACACTTAATCCAGCTAAAAATGCAATTATTTGAATAGTTTTCCCTAAACCCATTTCATCTCCTAGAATTCCTCCACATTGTTGAATATTTAATTCCCAAAGCCACTGAACTCCTACTCTTTGATATCTAAAAAATTATTCGTAATAAAATAACTTATTTGCAAATTAATAAATCCAAGGAATGGTTTTTAACAACTAACTTACTTAAAAAGTTTATTCCATATAATTGATGGCATTTTAAATCCATTGTCAATGGTTTGAAGTTGTGTTTCATATTCTTCCCTTTTATTTTCACTTTCCCAATCTTCTATTCTTTGTAAATAACTTATTTCATCGCCATCATCTTTTTCGACTAAAAAAAACGCCTTTTATGAATAAATATAATTTAACTTTTTTTTTTTTTTTTACAGATGAAATCACAACATTTACTTTTTTGCTTTTTTTCCTTGGATGATTTAGTATCAACATAATCATTATCAATTTCCGATTCTTCTTTAGCAATTTTACTTTTTTTTATTTGCTTTTTATTTTTCGTTACGGATTTCAATTCGAAATCTAAGTCACTCGAATTTGAGTCTGAAGGAATGTACTCACTTCCAGATGAATAATCATTTTTTCTTTTCTTAAAATTTTCATTATTTGTTTCCTTTATTGAATTTCTGAAAACAAAAGAAAAAATCACAGAATTAAAAAATTAAATAATTTGCAAACTTTTCTTTTCATAGTTTTATGCGTCATTACCTTACAAGTTGATTTTCATCATCGCTCTCATTTTTTTCCAATGAAAAATTATTTGACTTTTTCAATATATTTGTATTTTTAATTAATTTACTTTTTTGATTTGTATTATTTTTTTCTTTTGAAATTAAATTATGTTTTCTTTTAACACCTTTTTTTTCATTTGTGCCTTTTAGCCTTTGTTTAGCAATATATTCTTCAATTCTTTCTAAATTATTCCTAAAATGAAAAATATTTACTCCATAATTGGTTTTCAATCGGAAAATCTCATGTGTTTACATACACATGCAGATGAAATTTATTTAAAATAAGAAAAATTGATTTTTAATCGATTACAATAATAAAAGAGAAAAGAGAATAAATACCCTTCAATTTTTTTGATTGAAACCTCTGTACCGAAAGGTGTCATTTCACCCATTCTAATTTTTTTTTCTTTTTCTGTTTCTTCAGGAGCTGTGAGTAATAAAGAATTATGTTTTGCATTGTTTTCATTATCATTTTCACTTTTATTCTCTTCTTGATTTTTGTGTTTTTGACATGTGACATTTTCCTTATCATTTTTTTTTGTTAATATTTCAAGAGCTTTGTCAACTTGATGCAATATTCCTTCCTCCAAAACTTCTTGTTGATAAACTTTAATTCCAAGGCTTGACAGCTCTGGTTCCTATTAAAAAAAAAAAAAAAAATTTTCATTGTTAGCAATTAAATAAACGTTAAATTATTTTAACCATATTCGTAAATTTGATTTTGAATGATACATTTAATTATGTAATGAAATTAAAATATCATTTAATCAAAATGCCAAAAATGACGACGATAATAAGTTTATAAAACTTATTCTTTGAATACTTTTAAAATTTTTATCAACTTTTATAAGTATTTTTAAAATTAGCTTACTTGGCCATTTTCAAGTACAGTAGGAATAGAAGTTCTGTCAACGGTAAATTTGCCATTTAAAAAGGTTTCCGCATTCGTAAAAGTATCAGAATTTTGTAAATTGTTTTTCGCGGCATTTTCTTCATCAGATTTTTCACTTGCACTCATAATTCCTTTAATTGAATTCTTAAAAATAAAAAAAATAATAAAAAAATAAACGTTATCAAATTTCTACTTTGTAATAATTGTAAATTTCTTAATAAGTCAGTTTAACATCGCACTCCACAAAGTAAAAAAAATAAACAATGCAATTTATAGCGAATTTACGTGTTTTAAAACTTTTTCTCTCTTAACTCAATAAAGTTTTAAAAAAACTTTTGAAAAAAAAAAAAAAATTACGTATTTCATTTTATTTGAACCGCCAAAATTTTTATTCTAGAAAGTTTTAACGAAATATTAAATGTATTTATTATTTGGAATAATATAAATGTGTGAAAATTAATTACAAGTTAAACCTCCTTTTACGTGCTTTTAAAATTAAGATAAGCTTTTGAATAATATTTAAAATTTTTAAAATTGTTTAATTATTTATATAATTAAAAAAAATTATTATTTAGGAAAAAAAAATGTCCGTTAGAAAAAATATAGACTCATAAAAATGGTTAAGGCACGGGATGTAAGGAATTTAACGATATTTAACGTTGCTAAGGAAGTCAACAACCGATTAACACACTAAGAGATTTGGATTAATCGTTTAACGTTTGAGTTTTAAAATGGAGCCAACTTACACTTATTTAAAAAAACGTTACGAATTTGGAAAACAGTGTTTTTTCACAGATGAGGGCCCGGTACTTTTAGAAGATTTTAAACCTAATAAAAAAGATTTTGAAGATTATATTTTTCAAAATCCAGTGTCAAAAGAAACTCAGTACAGTAGTATTCAAGCAGAACACAGTGTATGTTAATTGTACGTCTATCATTTTATTAAAATTTGAATATTAATAATAATTATTATTATTATTATGTTTTTAGGTAAACACGACTCGTGCAGAATTCGAAGATCGCGGAATGAATCATGTGGAAGGTGGTTGGGGAAAGGATATTAACGTTCAAGATGCCGAACAAACATTAAGATATAAAAAAAAAATCGAAAAGGATGAAGAATACATTCGCACAATATTACAATTATCTCATGTAAATAAATCGAAATTTTTACTATATATAAATTTGACTCTTTAACCACGAGTTGTACTTTTTTTTTAGGCAATGGAACATTGCATTCTACAAAATAATGCAGTTAATATTTACGAATCGTATTTTCAAGATGCTGAATTAAGTAATTTAGTTGAACAAACAACGTCTAGAACAACAAACGTTTACAAAGATCCATGTAACATAAAAAGACCAATAACTCATTTATCATGGTCAGCTGATGGCGGTGTTCGTTTAGCAGCAACTCATTGTAATTTAGAATTTCAAAGAGCTTCTCCTGAATTGAGTACTCATTCATATATTTGGGAGATTGGCAAGTAAAAAAATATCTAAATAAAAGAAGGTTTAACTCAAACTATTGTATTGCCTAATTTAAATAAAACTATTTGAATTTCAATGAAGATGGTATAGGTAATTATAACATTTTAGAAAATCCAAACAAGCCTCAAATGATTCTAACACCAGCTGTACCTATTGTATGCCTCGAATACAATCCAAAAGATCCACATATACTCAGTAGTGGTATGTTTAGCGGACAAGTTTGTTTTTGGGATACAAGAAAGGGATCTGATCCGATAGAAACAAGTCCTATGGAAGTTAGTCATAGAGATCCAGTTCATAACGTTTTATGGATAAATTCAAAATCAGGCACAGAATTTTTTTCAGCGTCTAGTGACGGTCAGGTATAGAGAGCATCGAACGAATACGAAAATACCATAAATTTTTTATTACAAACCTCTTCTTCATCATTATTATTATTAATTTACAAGGTAAAATGGTGGGATAATAGAAAAATGAACGAACCATTAGAAACGTTAATATTAGACGTACAAAAAGACGAAACGATACTTCTTTCAAGAGCCTACGGGGCATCGAGCCTTGAATATGAAACTACAATTCCGACTAGGTTCATGGTAGGTACGGAAAATGGTTTTGTAATACAGGGAAATAGAAAAGGTATAACATTTTATTTAATTCCTGTAAAGTCCCTATGAAATACTTTATTTATGACATTTTCGTTCTTTTAGGAAAAACTCCTCAGGAAAAATTAGCAGGAGTTTTTAAGGCTCATTTGGGACCTGTTTGTTCCCTACAGCGAAACACAGCATTCGTTAAAAATTTTTTAACCGTTGGAGATTGGACGGCTAGAATATGGTCGGAAGATTGTAAAGAATCATCGATTATGTGGACAAAGTAAAAAAATAAAATAATAATTTTTATTAATTGTTAATTTAATTTAATTTAACAAATTTATGTAAGTTTTCATCGAGCAATGCTAACGGATGGTAGTTGGAGTCCTGCAAGATATTCTGTTTTTTACACGACTCAAACAGATGGAACGTTAAACGTTTGGGATATTTTACAACAGCAACGTAAACCGACATTGAGCATGAAAGTAAAACTCCATCACATTCCTGTATTATTATTATTTATAAAAAAATAAAAAATTTAAATTTTATTTGAAAGGTTTGCGATGATGCTCTTAGAAGTTTACGAGTACACGAAAATGGACAATTGGTAGCCGTTGGAAATGATAAGGGAAACGTTTATCTCGTAGAATTTTCCGGGAATTTAGCTGTGAATAATAAAAATGACAAAGCACTTTTAACAGCGGTAAATATGTATATAACAAAAAAAAAAAATCAACAAATAATTAAAAATCTTAATAATAATAAAAAATTTTTCAGATGTTTGAAAGAGAAAGCAGAAGAGAAAAAATATTAGAAGCTAAAATGCGTGAATTTAGATTAAAATGTAAAGTTAAACCACAAGATTTTACAACATTTCCCGGACAGCAAAATGAAATGGGAGAAAAATTAGATGAATGTCAAATTGCTGAACGAGAATTTTTTGCAGCCATTGAAAAGGTTTTTCCCGTCATACAATTTTCTTCCCTTTTTTCCTTATTTATATTTATTTAATTTAAAATTTATTTATTTATTTATTTATTTATTAGGAAAAAGCAGAAATAGAAGAAATGAAAAATAGAAAAATTAAAGAATGTGATGAAGTCATCAATGAAACAAATTTTCACGAAATCAAAGATGAAGAAAAATAATAATAATAATAATAATATAATAAAGAAAACAAAACAACGATATTTTTTCTTTCTTTTTCTTTTTTCTTTACATTTTAAAATTCTATTCAAATCCGAATTATTCCTGTCCTTTTTACATTTGTCAAAAAAAAAAATTTTTCAATTTATTGTAATGGCGGATGGGGGTGACGTTAAAAAAATACTCTTTTTTTTTTTGAAAGAATTATTATTTAATAAATTTAATTTTCCCTACTTTCTATTATTATTATTATTATTATTATTATTATTATTTTCTAAAGTTATAGAGTTTCGAAACCGATAAATATCCACCGTCTTTCCATCGTCGCTCCTATCCCGGATAATTCTTGTCTAAAAACCGATGGAAAACGATTTAACAAGGCTTCCACGTCTGCCGGCCTTATGACGGGATCTAATTTCGTTAAAAACGACCAAATGTAATCCACGCCCGCACCGAAAGGATGAACGTGAAGAAAAGTGGATATTAAACCTAGAATGGAAAAAAAAATAGGGGATTTCGTACGACGTTTACATTTTTTTTTTCGAAAAAAAAAAAAGGCCGCGAGTCATCATCATTATCACTACCTATGAGTCTTGCATCTCTGTCGGCGTAAGCCCCAATTATTTGCACGGATGATCCCCCGTTTTCGCTCAGCGTCACGTCCGTCGTTTCTTCTTTGACCGGAAAATCTTCGTCCTTTTCTTTGACCTCCATAAAATTCTCATCCTTATCACCGTTTTCCTGTTTTTTAACTCCTGCGCATTTTATTCTCGCTTGGAGTCCCCTCAATTTGACGTCATCTTCCGCGTGACGCCTTTTCGAATCCAACAATTGCTAAATAATAATAATAATAATAAACATTTCCGTGACATGATTTAAATAAAATAATCCCGCGCGCACACCTCCCCCCTCCCCACTCCTTTCTTTTTTACCTTTTGTAAATTTTGCACCGTCTGCTGTAAAACTTTCAATTGTTTTTCCTTCGATTCGAGATCGTTTTTCAAATCTCCCCTCACTAAATCGACTTCGTTTTTATACGCTTCCAATTGACACTTGAGACTTTCATTTTCGTCCTGAAAATGAAAACCATAAAATTATTTTTCAGGAACGTAAATAAATAAAACCTGAAAATAATGATGATGATGATGATGATAAATCCTTACTTTGAGTGCTCCGATTTCGACTTCTTTATCGTTTCTACATTTTTTCCGGGGTCCGGGAAATTCATCTTCGTTATCGGACACATCCATTTCCTCATCGGCTTCTTCGTTTAAATTATCACCGAATTGCATTTGTTTCATTTCCTAAACAAACAACACGTTCATCATTTTAAAACAACAACAAGAAAAACAAAAACAAAACAAAAACAAAAACAAAAAAAAATTTAAAAGAAAAATTCGTGAAAATTCTATTTTAATACAAAAAAAAAAAAAAAAAAAAAAAATTTTCTTTTTCTTTTGAGAGAGAGAGAGCGAGAGAGTGTGAGCGTGAGAGAGAGAGAGAGAGAGAGAGAGAGCTTTTGTCTGTACTTAAACCTACCTTATTAAAAATTTATAGTTTATCCGAGCCCTACCTTTTTTTTTTTTTTTTTTTTTTCCTAAATAAATACCTACCTTTCACAATTCTATTATATATAAATTTTTTTTTTTTTAATTTTTTCATTTTTTGCCTCATTTTCTTTTTAATTACCTTACGAACGAACCCTTACACCAACCAAGTCCCATATTTTTTAAAAAAATTTTTTTGTCATACCTTTTTTATAAAAAAAAAAAAACCTTTTCGAGCCCCTCAAAATAATATAAAATAAACATTTAACAATTTTTGGAATAACTTTGACAAAAAAAAAAAAGTTTGCAGACACGTAACAAACACACACACACACACACACACACACACACGTGTACATGTGTGTATGCGTGTATGTACCTGTACGACGACAGCATTTGTAAAACTCAGGTATTTAGAGAAAACCTAAAAGATTTGTAGTGTGTGTGTGTGTATATATGTCTTCGTTATGCAATCAATCACTTGTAGTTTTTAAACTTTCAGGTACTCGAGCGTGCCAACGAATTTACATGCAAATTATTATTATTACGTTTAAGGTACGCACGTCCTGTAAACCTTGTACCAATCAATCACACGACATTATTCGTAAATTAAAATTAAAATTAAAAAAAGCCAAATTAAGTTTCGATCGCAGTGCTCTTAATTCATAAAACGTGAAATTATCATTTTCCGGTTTTTTTAATAATAATAATAATAATAATAATTTCCCTTTCCGCTTTTGTCACGTGACAATGGTTCCCTACCTAATTAAACGATAATTTAATATATAATAAAAAAAAAAAAAATTAAATTAAATTTAAATTAAAATAATTATAAATCAATGAGTACATAATAATAATAATAATAATAATAATAATAATAATGATAAATGATAATGATAATAATAATAATAATAATAATACGTACTAGAGTTTGCTTTTTCCACGTTTCGATATTTTTGCGTTGAGCTTTCGTGAAATGGTCCCAACATTTTTTGTGAGAAGCACAGTTGAACACCTTCTCGATGAGTCCGACTATTGGAGAGATGAGAGAGAGAGAGAGAGAGAGAGGTTGAAGCAAGATCATTATTATTAGAGATTAAACTACTACTCGTCTTTTTCTTTTTTTTTTATAATAAAGCCAGTTACCATTATTCGTGCATACTTGAATAATACTTTTTTTTTTTTTTTTTTGTAAATACCCCGGTCCTCCCCCTCCCCCCTCCCCGCCATTTTTACAACAATTTCTTAATAGAAATCATAGATTTTAATAAAATCCATTTCATTTAAAGAGATTCATCTCTCAGCATCTTAGCATAAAACGTTATGAGACATTTTTTATCATCTTTCTATTTTATCAAGGCACACAAATTATGTAACTGGCTTTATATAAATAAATAAATAAAATTAATTGAGAGAGAGAAGACCAACTTTTTGTTTTTTTTTTTTTTTTTTTTGTTTAAATAATTAGCACACGTGGTTGGTCGATCGGTCGATCGGATATAAAGCAAATAAATGCATATTTATTTTTTTTTTGTTACTCCTCGTATACTCCAGATACCTGTAAAATTCCTTAAATACCTTTCCAGATTTTTAGTAAGATAATAATAATAATAGTAATGTAATGTAACGTAATAGACGTTCAAACCAATACGTCTTCTCCATAAAGTAATCAATTTGACACAAATTTTTTTGTTATGAAAATAAAAGTTAATTTCTTATAAATGTAATAATAATAATAATAATAATAATAATAATAATAATAATAATAATAATAATAATAAAACCAGTTCCATAAGTTAAAAATTACACTTTACGTAATTATTATTATTATTATTATTATTTGCAAAATACATTTTGTAAAGAAATTAACTTTGAAAAAAAAAGAAAAAAAAAAGAAGCAAGACAGGGATGTAAATATATATAAATGATTTTTTTTCTGTGTTGAAAAATAAATGAAAAGTAAAGTAAAGTAAAGTAAAAAAAAAAAATTTACCGTTAAATTTTTAAAATTAAAATATTTCAGTTACTGAGTTACAGTTGTTACAGTTGTTACAACTTACAATGTTGGTATCAATGTATCAAAGCTCTTAGTCAAGGTACGCATACGATTCATAAAGCTCTGAAAACTATACATAACTATACAAATGAACTGACCAATCAAAGTAATACCATATCAATCTCGTATTGATAACAAAAAAAATAAATAAATAAATAAATAAAATTCAAATGTCTGATGATATTTTCCCTGAAAAACAGTTATTTCAACTTATTTTCCATTAAAAATTAATAATTTTATCATTAATATACACCTTATTACCAATGACATTTTCAATTTCGATAAAAACTTACTAATTTACGCGAAAGTTTTAAAATCTGTGCCATTTGTACTCGATTAAACATTCGAATAAATATTTCATTTTAAATAAATAAATAATGATAATAATAATCGTAAAGCAAAGATCAATAATGTTCTTGAGATTTCATTTTGAAAGTTTTATAAAAATCAACCTGTTGTCGACTTACTGTAAATTCCTACCCACCAACGCCAACGTACCTATTGATATTAAAAAAAAAAAAAAATGTATGTGCGTATATATAAAAAATAATAATACTTACATTGAACAATAATGCCTTGAACCCTTGTTCGATAAACATCTTTGGCATTTTGCAATTCCTCTTCATATTGCATTTTTTCATTCATTAATCTACGAACGTGAGAATTTGTACTTTGAATCATCGAATAAAATGTGTTTGCATTTCTTTTCGAACAGTCTCCTCTTTCCAACCATGCCACCACCATCTGAACTGATTTTTGAAAACCATCATCGCCTGAAATTTAATTTTTAATTTAAATTTGCTTGTAAATGATTATTAATAATTACATTATGTTAAAATTAAATAAAATGCACAAGTGTAATGTCTTACTTTTAATTTTTTCACAAATCGTAGCAGCTTCATGATCTGAATAATGTGGTACTGGAGGAGGAGAAACTGGACGCATTCTTTCCCTTTCCATTCGTTCACGATGTCTTTGCTCGCGTTGAAGAGCACGCTGCCTGCATTCATAATCATATTGATCATCTCTAGCTTGAGCATAATCAACATGCAAGCGACCTGTGTTCGGAGCATCTGTACTATTTCCAATTCTCATTCTATAACCTAAAATAATTAAGAAATGTTTATAGGAAAAGAATTTTTTGAAGAATCAATATTTGAATAAAATTATTTTGTACCTGATAAAAATATTGCTGCATCTACAGAAGCTTCAAAAACAAATCTAATATGGCAAAAATTTTTTTTACTTAATCTTATCGTTTGCATTTCTCCACATCTTCCAAAAACATCTCTTATTATTTCTTCGGTACAATTTTCAGGAATCCCGCCAATATATACAGTTTTACAACCAGGTGGACGTTCTCTTGTCACAGGAGGCGGTGCATTAGGCGATGGTGGAATTAAGGTACATTCTTTGCATTCTATAATGCCCTTTTGTCCAGGAACTAAATTGCTTAAATTTGAACTTATATCTCCGACAGGTAAAACTGTACCATCTCCCATCATGCCAGGCATCATCCCATACTAAAATTACCTTATAAGTAAATATATAGACAAAAAATTAAATTCAATCACATTTAAATAATTTTACCTGGCTCATTCCAGCCATACTCAGCATAGCAGGATCACCTATCATTCCACCCATCATGGGCATCATTGGATGACCCATCATACCACCCATCATACCTATCATAGGACTAACTCCCATCATTTGCACTGCATTCGGTATTACACCACCTGGATTTTGACCAGAATTTGAATTCTGACCAGATGAAGTTCCTATATCAATGCCCAATTTTGATGGCCCAATTTTCGATGATTCATCTCTAGATTAAAATAATATTAATAAAAAAAAATTAGTGATTAAGATTTAAAGCTACATTAATAATAAAGTTTATATATATATTTTTGTTATTTTAAAATTAAAATATTATTTATTACTATAATAACAAATAATTCACCTTCTATCTTTAAGATCGTCTCTGTCACGATCTCTATCAGAACGATCTCTTCTATCACTTCTTCTATCTCTTTCTCTGTCACGATCTCTTCTATCTCTCTCTCTATGCTCTCGTCTATCATTTATTCTATCCTCTCTTTTAGAAGATTGCAAGTCATCATTACTAGAATTATTTGATTGCTTGTTTTGTTCTTCATCTGTAGAAAAAAAAAATGTAAATGAAAAGTTTTATTTTTAAAATTTAATTCTTGAAAAAAAAAAAAAAAAAATAACTCACTTAAAATTGGCATTGGTGGTTTATTTTTGTTCATGTTAAATTCTAAAGGAGCATCATTCATTGCAGGATGCATTAAATGCTGCATTTGTTGCATTTGTTGTTGCATTTGGTGTAATTGGTGTATAGCAGCTTGCTGCCCTGGCAATGGTGGCTGTCCCGGATTAGTTATCATTTGCAATTGAGCAGCTTGTTCAAATTGAGCACCAGGCAACTGAGGACCCGCAGGAGTCATAACAGTCAAACCCAAAGGTGGTGGAGGAGGGGGATCTATTAATAAAAAAAAGAAGAATATTTAAATAATTTTTATATTGAAATTCTCTTCTATGAAAATTTTTGTAAGGGACAAAATAATTAAATAATCTTAAATTAATATACATGAGTCAAAAAAATTAATTTTAATTGAAAAAATTTTTATTTGCGACTCTTTATAAAATATTATTATTATGAAATTTTACACTTGTGATATAAGTCAAAAATAAAATTATATAAAAAAAAAATGTATTACGTAATTAATTATTTGCATAAATTATTTTGATTTACTAACTCATGGTTTGTGCTTGAGGAAAACTTGCGTAGGACATTTTTAAAAAACAAAAGCATAAAATTATAATATTTTGTTTGGAAAATTTTTTACACCGCTCAGCACTATAGAACAAAAGCCCAATAAAATTTTTATATTTTCATATTATTAGCTTATGTGTTAATTAATTTCTTATTAAAGACTAAAATTGAATTCTTTAAGCTAATATCATCAGAAAATATAAAAACACATTATTTAAAATAAAATTCTTGATTAAAAAAAAAAAAAAAAAAAAAAAAAAAAAACAATTTTAAGCTCGATAATTGACTATCTGCTGTTTCCAATTTTAAACACAACAACTACAGTCCTTTGAAATTGTAATTTCTGAACTTCTTTCTTTCCTTTGACTGATTTTGTTTACATAATCAGTTAGTAGAAAATTTAAAAAGTCTAAAATGAAATTAAATGAAAAAACTGTAATTAAAGGGAATTCTGTTTTATTAGTTCCTTATGAAATGTATCACGTGCCAAAGTATGTTGTATTTTATTTTCTTTAGAATAACATTCGATAAACTAAATTTTGCAAAAAAAAAAATGTTTATTATTTATTAATTAGTATGAAAATTTTAGGTATCATAATTGGATGAAATCTACAGAACTTCAAGATTTAACTGCTTCTGAACCATTAACACTGGAAGAAGAATATGAAATGCAAAAAAAATGGAGAATTGATTCTGATATTAAGTATTTAGTAAAATATTAATTTTTTTCTTTTATTTAAAAAAATTCTAATTGTATCATTTTGTAGAGTGTACATTTATTATTTTAAATAAAACAGTTTACGAGGAATCAAAAGATGAAATCAAGGCCATGATAGGTGACACAAATATATTTTTATCCAATGATAATGATGATGTGATTGGAGAAATTGAAATAATGATAGCAGAAAAAAGTTTTAGAGGGAAAGGACTAGGAAAAGAAGCTCTTTTACTCATGCTAAGATATGGTAATACAAAATTAAACATACATTCAATATTAGATTTGATATTATCAGCTTGACATGTAATCAAAACAAAAAATAATTTCAGGAATTCAGAATTTAGGAATAAAAAGGTATGATGCAAAAATAGGGATGAACAATGATATAAGTGTATCAATGTTTTTAAAATCTGGATTTACAAAAGTATGCGAAAATAAAATTTTTAAAGAATTTACACTGAGCAAACCTGTTACTCAATCTTGGATTGAATGGCTCGAATGTCAAACAAAATTTTATATTGAAACTCAAAAATAAACTTAAACAGGCAAAAAAATTCTATGAATTTTTAATTATTGGTTATCCTACATTTACCAAGTTTATCCTGATCATTTTTTTTTCTTTATTACAAAACCTTAGAATTAAATAATGCTAAAAAATTTTGAACTTTTAAGTATTCAAAAATACAAAATCAGCTTTATTAAAGAAGAAAAAAAATAATGGGTACATAAATTTTAGTTAACCAAACCAATGACTTGCCATGCAATCTCTCTCCCAAGGACCTTGACAAACCCAACACCAATGAAATCCACAATTAGCTCTAGTGCAAATCATGTGCATACATCCTCCTGGAAAAAAAAAAAAAAAAAATTTAATTACTTAAAAATTGTTATAGAGCAACTCATGTAAATAAAATAAATAAATTTTACCAGCTCTTTCTGTTGAAGTTCTACACTTGGGGCATGGTTTGGTTAGTACTTTGATGACTGTCGATGATGCTTCATCCCATCTGGCTTTTTCTAATTTTTCCGGATCCAAAGGATAATCACAATTTTGAGATAAAAATGGCACATCTGTGGGATTCAAGCATTCTCCCAGATGAAAACCTTCTAAACATTTACCACAGAATACATACTAAAATAGAATTAATAGGGTTTTAAAACTTGATTTAAAAGTTTTTATCTTAACTTTTAAAAAATGTACAAACTTACACCACAACTGCATTGTACACGATTACAATTTTGATCAATGAGTATTCCCTGACCGCAACCGGGTTGAGGGCAAAGAACTCCTCCTGCTTGTAAAATAAATTCTTCAGTTGCAAATCTGTGATATTGCTCATATTGAGCATCAGTCAACAATCTAAAATGATGAACTTCTTCTATAAATGAATTAGAGCATCCTGCAGGACATGGCAAAGTGTAACCAAAATCAGGATGAGACAAAAACTGTCTGTCTTTAAGTCGTGAACCACAATAATTTTTAAAACATTCAAGACAAGTAACATGTCTATTGTCACATGAAAAAACCAAAACTGGATCACTGTAATTACATAATATTAAAATAAAATTATTAAGGAAAAAAATATCAAATCAGAAAATTTAATTATATTTAGCCTACCATATGTCAGTACAGGCTAAACAAGGAATTTTTTTGTGATTCCTTTTTATTAAATTCAAAGGCACTGCTGTGTCATTTTCCCCTTGAGAAGGATGAGAGGCACACTTAAAATAAAATTTAGCATACAATCCTTCACAGCCCACATTATTACAAACTCCCGTTATTTTATTCTTATCAAGAACATCAGCCCAACTTTGAGGATCGGTATCAACAGTAAAAGCTCCATGTTTGCATTCCGAACAACATACTCTTAATTTACCTGTATTTATTTTTTTACATGGATTGGCACAATAAATAAAAAAATGAGCTTTATTTTTTCCTTCATTTTTTAAATTTGATTCTTCGATTGATTCGACATTTTTTTGATCATTCAATTGATGAAGTTCTTCTAAAGTTTCACAAAGTGGTTTGTCTGGAATAACATTTTTAATTTTTTTGTTTACTTTTACAGCATGCAAAATACTTTGTTCTCCCAGATCACATTCCTTTAAATAAAATAAATAAAAAATTAAAGTTTTTAACGTATGTTTACAAAATTAAAACAACAGTCGATGAAAGGGTAATAAAATTACTCTGAAAAGAAATCGAGTACCTCAATTACAGTAGAATCCAAAAGTTCTTTTCCAGCAAAAATTATTTTCACATCATCAGGTTCTAAACCCAATTTTGGTGCTACCAGTTCTTTAACGTTTTTAATATCGCTTTTAGGATCTAAATTAACTGAAATAGTACCACCGACATTACTTTTAACGTAAATATTTACCAAATTATCGTTTGTCAAATTTTTACTAAAAGTAAGATATTGCGCCATTCCACAAAGTATATTCCAAAACCATTCTAAAATAGACATTTTTTAAGCCTCCACGGTAAAAATTAAAATAAACTTGCATAGTTAAAAGAGTAAAGAATATAATTCTTGATATAAAAATAATTTTAAAAAAATAATTTAAAATTAATTATTTTTGTTTTATGAATCAACATTACAAAAAAATTAGTATAAAGACGATTAATTATTTTAATTTTTTTTTTTTTTTTTGCTAACCGAAAATTTAAAAAAATTATATTTTTCAGGGCCTTATTGAATTATTATCAATGTTTTTATTTTGACAGCCTAATTTAACGTTATCATTATAATTATTTGTAAAAAAAAAAAAAAATGTGTATTTAACATGAAATTTTAATAAAATTATATTAAATTTTTTCATACGGTTTATTTCTTAATAGATTTTACAATTTAGGCAGTATTAAAAGTCAAAATAACTAAATACCGAGGAATTAAAATTAATACGAGTTGACTTTTTTACAAATGAATTAAAATAATAATAATATTGAAATAAACATCGAAATTATATTAACTGAAAATTTAAAATATAACATGACAATAGTCTTCCTTATAATTAAATAAATTGAGTAAAATATATAAAAAAAGGTATTTGTAATTCTATGTTTTTCTAAATCGAAAAAATTTTCTTAAATAAAAATGAATAAATACGTTGCAAAAATATTAGAATAAAAAAATTGCAAAAAAAAAAAATATTTATTATTTTATTCCATCGACTTTTGTCAAATAAATAATTTTGTTCTTCAAACATTTCCCCTGTAAAACATCATATGACAAGGGTTCCCTCTTTTGAACAAACCAATAATTTTTTAAACTAGTCGACAAACATTTTTTTAATCGTAAATGATCTCGAGTAAAAAAATTATAATCTCCATATATCCAAAATGCCTTATAGAAAAATAATTCACATTAAAAAAATTTCATTTATATATTATATAAAAATACTTTTAAAAAAATCTTACCTCAATATAAGGATGTGAAGCAGCGAAGAAAACAGAATCCATGTCCGTCACAATTTGTATTAAATTATCGGGAAGTACATTTTGAAAAACTTTCAAAAGAGACATTATTTCTAATTTATCATTTTGAAGAAGTAAAATAATAGAATTACCAAAAGCTGCAGCAGATAATAATAAAGTAATGATAGTTTCTTTACAAATATCAGAACTGTCAATTAAAATAGCAATAACTCCTAATGGAATTTTTTTTTCAATTGTAAAAAAATCACAATCGGAATTAAAATTAGTAGAAGTTGTTATGCTGCTCCAATGACCGCAAAGTCTTATTATATCACAACACCATTTAAGTTCTTTTTCTTTTTCAAAATATTTAAAAATTTTATAAAAAATATTTCTTTTCTTAGAATCATTCCAGTATTTTAATATATTAAACGAAGATTGAATTTGATGTGCCAGTTTTTTATCAAAATAATTTTTACCACAAACATTAAAATCATTAGGCAATAATCGTTTTTCATCATGCATACATGGTAACTTTACTTTAAATGACATGTATTGAAAAATGCCTACAAATATATATATATTGCAAAAATAAAAATTCTTTTTTTTAATTTAGTAGTTTTAAATTTTTATATTTCACCTTCGCTTCCCCCAAGAATACAATTTCCTGAAGAACCAGGATGAATTGGAACAAAAGGAGATGAAACTCCATGACAATTAATCCATACATTATTTGAAATTAGAGTATCTGCAACATCTAAAGCTTCAGATGAAACTTCACTCCAAACAGATGTTCCTAATGAATTAGATAAATTATTAACTAAATTTACTCCTTCCTTTGCAGTTCTGCACACTAAAACTTTTATAATGGGTAAATCAGGTTGAATTTCCTCATTCTGATAATTGAATAAAATTGTAATCCCATTTCCATGAATAACTTCAGCACCAGTGTTTACTGCTTCTTGACTAATCAATCGAAAATTATCATCATTTTTAATAAAACTTTTATTATCATCATCATCATATTGTCCAAGATAAAATATTGTATTTGTATAAAATTTTTTATAAATAGATTCTTGAACGACAATCGTTGAAACACTCCACAAATGATTTAAACCTATGGTTTCTTTAAGTAATTTTTCAATGGCTGCATTTATATCGCATGATTCTAAAAGTATAGCTGATGTCTTATTTGGACACACTGAAAAAGAGACATCGAGTTTTTTTATAAAACATTTTTTAAATAATCAACATGTATTTATTAACACAATTTGAAATCGATAAAACTTACTATAAGTAAAAGAACCGAAAAAAGGTTTGTTAAAAATATTTTTGACGTTAAAAAAATCATTAAAAACAACAATTTTATTCGAATGCCTTAATAAAATTTCTTTGTTTTTTTCACAGTCGGGGATGACATTGTATAATCCATTTGGTAAACTGAAAAGTATTTTTAAAAAAATTTTTTTTTTTGACAATAAAATACTCATACATGTTTTCATTGACAACCTGATAATATTATCATACCCTGCATCGATAAATATATTTTCAAATCTTTTTATTTTGTCAATATTTGAAACTATAATAATACCACATCCAGCTGCTAAAACTGCTGAAACAATTGCAGAAAATATAAATAGAGGAAAATGTTCAGGTAGTATCAATAAAACAATTCCGACAGGTTTCCATTCTTTAAATTCATTTGAAACCGATATAAAATTGGAATAAAAGTAAAAATAATCAGAGTTTAAATCAGTATTTTGAGAATAATTGTTTCCTATTCTAAAAAGATAAAATTTATATTATGATTTTTATTAAACAAAAAAAAGAAAGTTAAAAATTAAATCTTACTCAAACAAAATTTCAGCTCTCTCTGATATGCTTTTATTTTCCCATTCCGTTTGAGCTTTTGTTGCCTCTTCAAAAATTATATCAACTGATTTCTGGCACCCCAAGTCGACACTGGCATTTTTTCCTGTCAATTCATTCTATAAAATAAATTCTTATACCGTATTTGAAATTTATTAAAAGTAATAACATACAATAAAAAATTAAAAAAAAAAAAAAAACAAAAATTTTAATAAGAAATATTAATCCGCATGTAAAATTTGATCGTTAGTAAAATAAAACTATTTACAATTTTATTAATGTTTTCCCTTTCAAAATTCATATTGTTAAATATATTAATTATCGACTCGGGAGATGAATTATCGCTCATTTTAAAAAAAAAAAAAATAATAATTTTATCAAACTAAATACAAACGATTAGTATTAAAAACGTTACGTAAGTTTATCAAACGGATTATAGATAACGTTTTTTTTGAGATTTCATTAAAGATGGCAGCACTGAATCTTAATAAAAAAAAAACCGTTATTTTAAAAATAAAACTTTTTGTCTCTTTTCAATATATAAACATCGTTTGAAATCATAATTTAATATCTAATTTTACTTTATTTATAAAAATCAAGTTTTAAAAACGTATTAAGAACTAGTTTACTCGAAGGCAAATCCAAAAAAAAAAAAAAAAAAAAAAAAAAACTTGTATTGTATAAATTTCCTCAAAAAATTTTCAACGGGAAAATTTTTAATAAATCGTAAAACAAAATAAAACAAACGCTATTAAACAATTTTTTTTTTTTTTTTTTTTTAAAAAAACAAACGTCTTTAAACATATATTTTATATTACAAAACATATACATATCAACATTTTATTAACATATAAAATCACTGTAATAATCTCCCAACATGTTGGCTTCGAGAAAAATTAATTTACTTCTTTGAATAACGACGATAAATTTCGATAATTGATGTTTATTTTTCGTTGGTAATGAAATCGATTGTAATTTTGTTGAAAATAATTGTAAAGATATTCTCTTGAAGAATCCAGAAACGTCTGAAATAAATTATTTGTCACGTTAAACTTTACCGATTTAAAAAAAAAAAAAAAAAAAAAAATGTCGTGAATTTCACGTTGAAAAAAGACCTTCTCCTCTTACTTTTATACTCGTAAACCTCCAACAATTTATGCTGCGACGAAACGATTAAAAATGATTGTTTGTTCTCGCCGTAATTAAACCAAAGGAGAGAATTCGCTTTGTACGTATTTATTATCCCCATTATTTTATCTTCTCTTATATTTTCGTAGACTACGATTTTATCTCGGAAAATCAACGCGACCAAAACTTTTCCGTCGATCGGCAATGCCACGATGTTACTATAAGTCACGAGAAAAGTGTTCAAAACGATTTTCCGACTTTCGAAAACGATTTCCTTCGTTTCTTTTCCATTCGACAAAGCCAAAGTGCCGAAAACATTAAAGTCTATAAATTTATAACCGCCATTGCCAACGTTAACCAAAAACGTTTTCTCAACGTGCGTATCATTTTGTAAGCCCCATTTAAAAACGTTTCCATTTTCTTCCAGAGTGAAAAATGACTCGGACGTATCGTTTTCTTGTATGACGTCGACGAATCCGTTTCCGGAATATACGAGCGAGATGTCGTTGTCCCCATTTTCCCCGGGGAAAAATCTCCATATGTTTCCCGGTTTTAAATCTTGGCAATTTTGACTCGCGTGCAGGGAACTCGCGACCAAATACGTCACGTTACGACGATACAAAACGAGCCATTTTCCGACGGGTCCGATGTTTATATTTTTGATTAAATCGAACGTCGAATTCCCCTGGTTCCATTTGTAAAGAGCAGACGACGAACAATCGTTGTAAAACGTGGTGATGACGTAATCCAAATTCGAAATCTAAAATTCAAATCGAATATTTTTTGAACGTCTCGTGATGAAATAATAATAATAATAATAATAATAATAATATTAAAAGCTTAATTATGATGAACCTTTAAATAAATGAGGGATTCTATGACCAAACGAGTATCAATGACTTGTACGATTTCAAAATCGTGTAAATACGTGGGCAATTTGTACAATTCTTCCGAGAGACGTTTCACCTCTCGGCATTGCGAATAATATTCATTTTCCGTTTCATTTTTTTTCTCCGATTTCAAAAATCTATTCTTCATCATTATTTCATTTATTTCCGGTACGTTCATCGCTCCCAAACTAGCATTTCCTCTAATGTTTTTAGATTTGACGTGTCCTTGAGCGATCCACACGCCATCTATTTCCTAAAAAATTTTGCATTTTTAGCGCGTTCACTAATTTTTTTTTGATTCGTTAAAAACAATTCTTTTTTTTTTTTGAACCTTACTTGTTGTCGATTTAATAACACCGATCTCCCAAACCAATTTTTAAGATTTATACCGTTGATTTTTTTCAAACCGTTTATGTTGTTGTTAGCAATGAGGGTACCATTGAACAACAATCGATTCCTAATGGTTTGCTCCGTGTTTAACGTTATCAAATCTTCGACTTTATTACCTTTGATGTGATCGACAACGAGATTTCCATCGACGGTAAAATTTTTATGAAATATCATTTTAGTTTTAATCGTTTGACTTCCGTTCAACTGAAATCATTCGCAAAATTTACAATAAGACAAACACCTCCCAAACATTTTTTTTTTTTTGGATTTTTCCACTCACCAAAATACTATTTTGAAATTCTCGGATTAAATTATGAGAATTAACGTAGTCTCCGACGTTTAAATCCGATGTGGTGTTAAATCTTTGAAAGAGACCAGTGACGGGAATGAATTGTTTACCCTTGAGGGAAATCGTACTCGTCGACACGTGGTTATTGATAAAATCCGCATCGACATTTTCCAAAGCCCAAACATTTTCGAATTTAATTTTTCCCGTGACCATGTCCCATCCGTCTAATCGAATACTATCCTCGTACAAATCGTTGACGTCTAAATTATTTATCAAACTCGAATTGAAATAATCATGGATTTCCAACGTGTTCATCAAAACGGCTTCGTTTATGATTATCGTGCCGGGTACGAATGTCGGCTCGTTTATGAAAACCACATCGTTCAACAGATCGGTAAAATTTACGTTGTTTATTTTACCATCGAATAAAATATTTTGCATGAAATTCACCTGTCGAAAAAAAATATCGATTTACATTTAGGTAAAATAATTCCCCCCCCCTCCCCCCAAATTTCAATTTACACGACTCGCTCACTTCTTCTTTAAATACTTTCTTCCCCTCTACGTGACAACTCTCGTTCTTAAACACGATATTATCCATTAGAGTATCCAGGGAGGAGTTTTGCACGTTTCCTCCGACGAACAAATTATTAATTTTCACATTTTCCGACGCCAATTCCAAATCCTTTGAAAAAATGTACGTGTCGTACTGCGTCGAGAATTTTTTCAATAGGTCGAATACGGGAACGTTGTTCAAATAACCGTTCGTCGTGACGTTTCCTTTGATGGTGACGTTCCCCATGATTTTAAATCGACCTTTCATCCTTTGATCTCCTTTCCGCGTGACGATTTCTTGCACGGGGTGACCGTTTAAAAATTTCGCTTTCATATTTTTCAACACTTTTATCCTTCGAAATCGTTTGGATCCGCTCAAAATGACGTAGGGATGTTTCGTCACGACGTCTTTTTCCAATTTTTTCAAATCTATGCCGTCGATTGAATTCGTGACGTTCAACGTTTTGAAATGAATTTTATCTTCGAATACGATTGTATCGTTGATGGTTTGATTCGGTTTTTTCAAATTGATCCCACCGCTCAAAAACCTGGACAGGTTTACGTTATTCATCCCGTTATTTGTAAAAATATTTTTTTTCACCCACAAATTTTTAATTTTCCTTATTTTCCCGCTCGAAATTCTTTCCATTAAATTATCTTTGCTCCTCGAATTCGTTTCGGGTAATACATTTTTCCCGTTGAAACTTTTCACGGTTAAATTTCCATCGAATGCTACTGAATCGGAGAGTAGAAGAAAATCCCGTTTCAACACTTGTGGTTTTTCTCGATGAACTCGAACGCCGTCCAATTCGCTTAAATTTTTCCCGTTGATCTATCAATCGATTAAAAGAAAAGAAAAGTGATTTTCCTTTACAAATCTAAATCCTTTACGCTTTCATTAAACACACGTAAAAACTTACATTAAATTTCGTATCGATAAATCCATTTACTCTTGCCCTGTTAGCTTTTATAGATTTCAATTTTTGAAACGGTGACGTGTACAGCGTATCAATGGCGAGTGACAAATTATTTTCACCATTTGACTTTCGTAAATCCGTCACGCTCACGTTCTTATTATAGTAGTGGGTGACGTTCAAGTGTTTGATAAACAATGGCGACTCGCTCGGGTATGTAAAATTACACGTTTGACAATCTCCGGACGACATTCGGACGATGGATTGATTCAAAGATTCGACGACGAGATCATCATCCCAAAAACCTTTCAAATATAAATTTTCAAATTCGACTCGATGAAATTTTTGTGAAAATCGTATCGTTTGATCCGTGAAATTTTTCATGAAATTATCGACGAACGTTTCATTTAGTCTTCCGACGACATTTGCTTTTTTAACTTTTACCACGTTTTTAAAAATCTTCTCTCCTTTTATATCCGTTTCCGTTTCCTTTATAACAAAAAAAAGAAACAAATCATTTACTTAAATCTCAATCTCTGTAAATAATAATAATAATAATAATACTTACTTTTTGTACTATATCGTTAAACATTCTCCAATCCAAATTATTTATCGCATCGACTTTTAAATTTCCATCGATTTGAAGATTTTGAAACACGTAGATTTTTTTTTTCGTACCTGAATTTTTCAAATCGAATTCGGATGATCTTTTTTTATTATCTGAATTATTATTATTATTATTATTATTATCAACATTTTCACGAGTGGTGTTTAACAATGATTTTTCTTTTTCAGTTTTCATCCCGACGAAACTACTAACATTTCCCACGTCGATGGATTTTACTTTAATTACCTAAAAATTAATATTTTAATTATTTAATAATAATAATAATAATAATAATAATAATAATAATTTTATTCGCCTGATGACGTGCAACGTCGTGACGTAAGTTAAACTTACACCTTTGACTTTTGTATAATTATATTTTTTTTTTATCGGACCGTCGAGGCATTTGTACATAATTTGATCTAGAAATTCGGTAAAATTTTTTTTATTTATAAAAATGACGTTAAGATTTTCCGCGACGTTAACCATTTCCACTCTCGCTTGATTAACCGTTTCCAAATAATTAATATTTAATGGTGGAAAATGTGCCGGAAGTATAAAAGGTTGTTCGTTGATTTTCGATGCTACATTCGTTTCGTTCAATATTTCCAATTCGTCGAAATAAATATTTTCTAAAAATTATTATTAAAAAATATAACAAAAGATTTTTTTTACCCCCTTGTAATCATTCTCATCGAATAAAATTCTTACCAAATGTTTTTTTAGGCACCGACGATACGGTATTATAATTTTTTAAATAAGTAAAATTATTCATTCTATTATTCGAATGCAAAACGATTCCATCCAAAACGTTTAATTTACTCTCTATGATAATATCGCCATTTATAAATTTGTTTTTCGATTCCCACAAATCGTCGGTGAAAAGAAAATCGTTCGAGGGTATGCCATTAATTTTTCCAAACGTCAAATTAACCGCGCTCACCGTTTTCAATGTTTTAACACCGCCAATTTTCTTTCTTTTGTCTTTCCTGAAAATTTTTTTTATAGTTTACGTATATGTAAATGAAAATTTTACAAAAATTTTCTTTTTTTTTTTTTTTTTTTTTTCATACGAACCTATAACTATTTAGAAACAATTCAGAAACGTTATATCCATTCACCATCGAAAAATTGGCATTGTCAATGATAACTTTTCCGTGAAAAATAATTTTGTCTTCTGCATTTCTCATCGAAAACAATTTTTCCGGAGCTTCACCGAAAGATTTAACGTAAGAAGAATCATTTTTGATTTGTTGAAATTCATTTTCCACGTATTTTATCTTCGATGATAAATCATTTAACGTATCGAATAACTCTGTCCAATTTTTAGCCTGCGATAATGTTTCTAAATTTTTCTCCGGATTGATTCGTTGCATTTTACCATAAAAAATTTCGTCTTCTTTCCCGGCGACGTTATCACCAAATGAATTTTCCGTGATTTTATTTAAAGTGAATAGTTTTTGTAATTTATCGTTTTGCGTTTTATAATTTTTCTGTAATGTGCAAACAATAAACGATGAGTGCGATAAAAATTTAGTAAATTTAGGCATGAAAGGTACTCTTCATTGATAAATTACCTGCAGTTTATTTTTCCGCCTGATGACCGATTGCAATTTTATTATGGCTTTGTCTGGGAGAGGTCTTAAAGCAACGTGAAATTTTAATAAGACAGGGAATCCGGAAGTTAATATAACGATATTTTGATAATCGTTATGCTTAAAAGTGGTCGAATTATGTATTAGTATATTCGTACTAAATTCTCTTAAACAATCAACATCTGAAATAATACAATTCGGTGTTGATGGCAAGTGAATTTTAGACGATAAAAAAATATTTGCATAGATGTTATGAACCATTATTACCATTTTCACATAAAACTTTTGTGAAATTTTTTATTATTTTAAAACTTTTATTTCCAGCCCAAATCACACCAGTGATGTCATTATCATCATTCCTCGAAGAACGAGACAACAAAATATTTTCTTCTCTATAATTACCCAACGGTATGAGAAACCAATGATCTTGATGGCCTAAATTAAGATTGGTCAAGTTGCGAAACGTGAGATCATCACCCAGTTCGTAAATGGATGAATTTTCACCGGATATGGCTATGTGCCAAACATAATCGTTTTGAAAAGAAATTACGTTATTGACTTTTTTCGAAACGATACTCTGATGAAAATTGAAATGTTTTTGTTCTACGATTAAAATAAATAAACGTTAAAAATATTCCTTTGGGAAAAATTATAAAAATTATTTAAGAGAGTACCTTTATTTAACTGGCAATTTGTGGAAAATCTCCAAATTTTTACAATTTCCATGGATGGAAACGAAGCACAGAGAAATGTATTATCATTTTCGTTAAAAACAGTTATCGAAGAAGGAAGACCATCAAGATTGATTTTTTCATCCAACCACACATTTAATTTAGGTTCAATAATAAAATTATAGATTTCTAACGAAGTTGACGTGGAACAATTTTTATTTGAGCTTTTTTCCCAACTTACAATAAGTAACTTGCTCTTGTGATTCACTTTAATAACATCCAAATAACTAATTATTTTATGCAGAGACCAATCGCACAAAAACATCTAGAAATAAATTTTTAGTTTAATTATTTTCAAGATTGTGATTTAGATATTGATTTTATAAAAATTATTCTCACCAATTGTCCATTTTGTAATTTATACCATTTTAAAATGTTGCTATCATTTCTAGAAACAGATACAACCAAATAACTTTCAATTCTCTGAGATTTCGAATTCCATAATTGAAAAACGTTAAAGTCGTTCGTGGTTTCTGCGATTTCTAAAAATTACATGAAAAAAAAAAATTTAATTTTTTTTTAAGAAGCATAAACAATATGTCAGCAATAACTATGATAAAAATATTTTTTTTTACCTTCTTTATATATTGAAACATCATTTTTCCTTTTCAGAGTGCCCAGTAATACATAGTTGGAACTCAAGCCGAAAATAATAACTTTTCCATTAACAGATAAACTTTTTATTTTGTAAATATCACTAATAGGTAAAAATGTTTTATTTAATTCACCTTTGTGTATGTGAAGTTCTAAATCGTGATGAATAAATCATTTTAAAAAAAATTATTATTATTATTAGTATCACAATTAATTATTTGCGTAATAATAATAATAATATTACATTACCTTCTCTATTACCGATTCCCGTATCAAACTCATATGAATGCCAAATTTTAGAAGAATGACTTGTACCAGGCTCTTCGAGGGAACACACATTATAAAAACCAACCTACAGAAAAAAAAATAAATTTTTTTTAATTTGAAATTTGAAAAAAAAAAAATAATTAATTTGAAACTTTTTTTTTTTTTTACCTTTACCGCGAAAATAATGAATTGAAAGGTAAAAAATTTAAACATTATTTAATGTGAAAATGGACTGCTACAAATTAATAAATGAACTATTCCCTTTAAAAATTAAAAAGTCACGATACCTGAAGATTTTTTATTGTTAAAACATAATTTTACAAGATGAAACAAGTTGTTGCAATTAAACTTTTCAACTTTTTAATATTATGTTTTATAATAATCTAAACAATGGTTAAGTATTGATTAAAGTATAAATGTAAAGTACGAATTATGTTACCTTTTAAAACATTTTTTCACCCGACTTAAGGAAGATTCCACGATTATTATTAATTACAAGTAAATTAATATTCGTCATTAAAATTGTCGAATTAATTCAACGTGTAGTAAATTTTGTAAACAAAAAGTACGTTCAAGAACCGATTTTTTAATATTTTGGGGCCCTGTTTTTTTTACTTCAATAGATATGTTATAATGTCAATAAAATGTTTCGTTTAATGTTTTTTCCCTGATTTTCATTATGTCTAATCATGTAGTAGTTGTTTGGGAGTGGGAAAATAGACAGGGGAGATGGAGGCCATATACTCCTGAAGTGTCTCAGCATTTGGAAAGAGCTCATGCGAAAAAATTAACAAGGGTATTCTTAAGTGACGCTGATCCGACACTTGATAAATATTTCATCAATTTAACAACAAAAAAACAGTATTTGGATGAAGCTGGTTAGTTTTCATTTAAAATGTTTAATAACTATATAATTAGTAATAATTCTAAATAATCAAATAGAAGGAGTTCAAGTATAATTCTCTCTAATCCCTTCATTATATTCACATCTATTAGGTGTACCTTATAATGTGAGAAGAAACTTTTATCAACCGAGTTCTCCTGCTGGTAAAGGATCTAAATGGGAATGGGAAGGTGATTCGCTTGGAGAATGGCATACATATGACATGGATGTTCAATGTTTGATCGAAGCAGCTTGGGCAAAAGGAGAGCAAACAATTGATATATCCAAAACTTATTTGGGTTTTCCATATGTGATAAATTTTTTAAATTTGACACAAGTAAAAGCTAGTACAGGCTATGTTAGAAATGTAAGAAGAGTTCAACAAGCTCCCTACCCACTTGTAAAATTATCTCAAGAAGAAATGACTGCATTTTTAGGTATTCATTAGTTTTTTTTTTTTATTGAAATTATCCTATTGGTTTAAATTTGACCTAATTTTTCAATATTAAAAAAAAATTTTTTTTTTTTTTTTAAAGTTAATACTCAAATCACTCAAAATTCATATAAACAACAATTAGAGAGAAATACTGAAAATATTTCAAAACCGAAAAAGAATAATATAGCGAGAACTATTTTAAATATATTTGGAAGTCATTATCCTAATAGTTCTAAGGAAAGTCAAAGTTCTGTAAGGACAAGAGAATTTTGGGATACAGATTCGAGTAGTACGAAAAGTGGGAGAAGACCAAGCGTTGACACAGTTTCTACTTATCTTAGCCACGATACAGCTTCCAGAGTATGTAAAAAATATTTTAAATCATTATAATTGATAAGAATATTCTGTTAATGGCATGGTTTGCATGCAAAGTCCTTATCACACTATTAAATTTTTTTTTTTTTGTTAGGGAACTGTAGCCGATTCGTTGGATTCTAGTGAAGATGATATTTTCGAGGGCAAATCGTATTTGGCAAAATTTAGCAAAGATTGCAATAAAAAAAAATTTTTACAGTCTTCCAAACATCAAAAAATAATGATTAAAAAAGAAATACCCAATATGGTTAATAAATTTAAAAATATTCAACAGAATTGCCATAAATTAAGCAGTGCGAAAAAGAGTAGATCCGAAGAAAATTTTTTAAGCGAAAGCACTCTGAAAAATGATGGCGTTTACGTTGGAAGTTACAATGAAGATGTTATACCATATTTTTCAAAACTGCGAGCGTCGAAAAGAAACGTTAAAACTGACCAGAGCTTTAATGGCAGAGATTGGCTTCAAACGAGGGATTATTGCTCAACAGATGGTGCAATTATTGGTACACACATACATAGATATATATTACACTACCTAGTTGATAATACTTTTACTTACTTTTTGAAATCAAACTTTTGCATTTAGGAGTGGATTCTGCGAGTCAAATGGTTTCTCAATTTGTCACAGTGGTGAAAAGCAGTAGATGGGGAGAAACAACATGTCCAATATGTTTAACGGATTTGATTGATCCAAATGATATTATTGTAGCTTTGGTTAGCTGTGAGCACAGCCTTCACCTTTCCTGCTTGAACAAAATGTTGACAGCTCAAAAATCTCAAGTATATTTTTGTAATTTCAATATTGATTTATTAAATTTTTGAAGTTTATTTTTTTTATAATTACCATTATTGTTTTAGAATATGTATATTCAATGCCCCGTATGTCAGAGGATTTATGGGGAAAAACGTGGTAATCAACCTCCTTGCACCATGGACTGTTGTATTCTTCATTGGTCACTCCCGGGTCATCCGAATGCTAGAACAATACAAATAACTTATAAGTACGTTTGGGGATAACCTGATAATTTATTTTTTTAAATTTGACATTCATATTTTAACGAAAGGATTTTTTTTTTTTTTTACTTCCTAGTACTACTTCGGGAATTCAAGGACCCGAACATCCTAATCCCGGAAAACCTTATTACGCCGTTGGATTTCCAAGGGTTTGCTACCTCCCGGATACGGATAAAGGACGACTCGTGTTAGATCTTTTAAAAGTAGCATTCGAACGAAGATTAATTTTTACCGTGGGAAGTTCAGCGACGACGGGGAAAGAAGATGTCGTTACTTGGAATGAAATACATCACAAAACAGAGCCTGGTATTTCGCGGACCGGATACGGATATCCTGATCCGAATTATCTTGATAATTGTTTGGCGGAATTAGCTCGGCAAGGTGTCACTCCCGATCATTCAGCTTATCAACATTTACCTTAATTTTTATTCTATGGAATTAGTTTCGTATTGAAACAATTATAAGATACAAAAAAATTTCGATTTTGATACATATCGGCTAATTATTTAGCCTATTATTATCATTATTAATAAAGTGCAATTATACAAAATAAATCTCATTCATTCATTCATTCATATTCGTTATGAAAATAAATTTTTTCTTTTTTTCGAAATATACGTGACGAGTTTTAAATTTGATTAACGTAGTCTTCCTAATATTAATAATAATATTTGATTAACGTAGTCTTCCTAATATTAATAATAATATTTTAATAATGTATTGTTACTGTTAATTATATATTTTATAGCGATAAGTAATTTTTAAATAACTTATACAGATAATACAAATAAAAAAAAAATTGTTTCACATAATTAAAATATTTAAGGATGAATATTTATAAAAAATACTCATTATTAAAAATTTGTAAAAAATTTTTTTTTACATACAAATCAAAGACTCAAATATTTATCAAATTTATGTATTTTTTTTAATATTGTAAATTTATTGTGCCATTTTATATATATATATATATATATTATAACTTCATTATCGGCGGCAATATTAAATTAAAATTATCTTATATATATTTTAAATTAATTATTATTAATTATTAATAACAGTATTATTTTTAAAAAAAATATTAGTTAAGTCTGATTTTTTATATAAAATTTAAGCTAAAATAATTTTTTATCGAAAAGTTATAATTTATGTAAGATAATTTTTATCTTAAAAAAAAAAAAGTATGTAATTATTTTTATTATGTATTTAACTTATTTATAAATTTTATAAAAAATATAATAATTATTAAACGTCTTCTCGTACATAATTGATAGTTATTAGTTCAAATCATTCATTTTCTTTTTAATAAATATTATTAAGGGCATTTACATGATAAACGATAAGGATATTATTATGTAAATATTTATAAAAATCGTCTGCTTTCCAGTTTTGTTTTAATTTTATACAATTTTATAAGTTGTAGAGTGAGAGAGAGAGAGAGATTCATTCGTAATTTAGTAATCAATGATTTAAGCGTCTTTTTTTTTTTTTTAAATTTCGAATCGAACAACAAGAAAAAAAAAAAGGTAAAGTTGTTAGAAATTAATTTAAAATTTGAGTTAAAAATATTTTATTTATTTTTTTGTTTAATTAAATTTTTAATAAATTTTATTATTATTTAAAAAATTTTAATGCATGCGTTAGAGTGTTAAAATATATATAAAAAATAATTTTTTTTTAATTTCAAATGATGATGAAAAAAATAGATTTAAATATAAAATTATTATTATTATTATTATTATCGTTATTTTTAATTTAAATTTGAAAAAAATTTACAAGTGTTAAAAAATAAATAATAATAATAATTTTAAAAAAATTTAAGTAGGAATAAAAATATGACCCCCCTCTATTAATTACATTATAAAAATAATTTATCTTTTTTAAGATAACCTTTGATATAATATTTGTAGTAACACAGTCTATTCCTCGCAATGCTGACGTGTGTGCTGAGAGTTGTTAAAAATAAAAAGGCCAATATATTTTTTGGATGTAGAAAAATGTCTTTGTTAATCGATAATCCACAATATGATTTTTTAAAAACTCTCGGATTGGAAAAAAGGAATAAGGGGGTCTACAATGGAAAATGGTTCGGTAGCGGAGAAGTACGTGTTTTAATTTTTTTTTGTTTAATTCAAAAAAAATTTTTTTTTTGATTTGAATTTTTTTTTTTTTTTTTTTAGGTCGTTACTTCGTACAGTCCATCAAGTGGTGCACCAATTGCCGAAGTTGTCAAAGGTACACAGGAAGATTACGAAAGTTGCGTTGAAGAATGTAAAAAAGCATTTAAAACATGGGCTGGTTTACCGGCACCCAAAAGAGGAGAAATTGTTCGACAAATGGGTGATGCTCTTAGACAAAAAAAAGAACCTTTGGGAAAATTGGTATCACTTGAAATGGGTAATTTTTTTTTGACTTGATTTCTGTTATTTTAAAAACATTTACTCAGATAAATAAAACAAACAAATAAAACAAACAAAAATACGTCATGGATTGCAGGAAAAATATTTGCCGAAGGAGTAGGAGAGGTTCAAGAATTTGTAGATATTTGTGATTATGCAACAGGGTTATCGAGAACATTTGGGGGACCCATTCTTCCATCGGAAAGACCAGGTCATGTTCTTTTAGAAGTTTGGAATCCACTTGGTGTCGTTGGTGTTATTTCGGCTTTTAATTTTCCCGTTGCCGTTTACGGATGGAATGCTGCAATAGCCCTGGTAATTTTTTTAAAAAAAAAAAAAAAAATGGATACCTATTGACATATTCCTTATAAATAATTTTATTATTTTATTCCGAAAAGGTGTGCGGTAACACAGTTTTATGGAAAGGAGCATCAACAACTACTTTAATTTCAATTGCTACGACTAAAATAATAGCTAAAGTTTTAGAAGATAATGGAATACCAGGAGCTGTGGCTTCGATGATTTGTGGAGGACCTGCTGTCGGAGAAGCAATGGCTAAAGATCAAAGAGTTGAATTAGTTTCATTTACCGGAAGCACGCCAATAGGACAAAAAGTAATTTTCTTCTGCGTTTTACTAAATTTTTACTAAAAATTATCAACTATTTATCATTTGTTTTAATTATCAGGTTGGAGTTTTAGTTCAAGAAAGGTTTGGAAGATCCATATTAGAATTGGGAGGAAACAATGCATTAATTGTAAATGAAGATGCTGATTTAGATATGGTGATACGCTCATCCGTTTTTGCTTGTGTGGGTACGGCTGGACAAAGATGTACGTCTTTAAGAAGATTAATCATTCACGAAAAGGTGTACGATGAAGTTTTACAAAAATTAAAACAAATATATAAACAAATAATGAATCGTGTCGGAGATCCGCTTGACACCAAAACTCTACTTGGACCTCTGCACACTAAAGCCGCTGTTGCAGAATATGAAGAAACCATAAAAGAAGTCAAAAAATTAGGTGGAACCATCGAAATAGGTGGAAAGGTAATTTGCAAAAGAAATTTTTTTTTAAATTTGTTTTCAGCGAATAATCAAATTTATTAAATTTTTTAGGCAATGTCAAGAAGTGGATTTTTTGTAGAGCCAACCATAGTCACAGGTTTGAAAAGTGATAATCCAATGGTTAGAAAAGAAACATTTGCCCCAATTGTATATTTATTAAAGACAAAATCATTAGAAGAAGCAATTGAAATAAATAATTCGGTCGAACAAGGTCTTTCTTCAAGTTTATTTACAAAAGATTTAGGTTGCATTTTCCAATGGTTGGGTCCCTTCGGTTCGGATTGCGGTATTGTTAATATAAACATTCCAACGAGTGGAGCCGAAATAGGTGGAGCATTCGGTGGAGAAAAAGGTACAGGTGGAGGACGAGAATCAGGTTCCGATTCATGGAAACAATACATGAGACGTGCAACAGTCACGGTTAATTACAGTAAAGATTTGCCATTGGCACAAGGAATTACTTTTGAGTAAATTATTAATAACAACAGCAACAGCACCGTCAGCAGGTTTTTTTTTTCAAACTGAAAAAAAAACGATAGTATGATAAAATTAAAATTAAAACTACATTCCAATTAAAAATATTTTTTTTTTAATAAATATTTATAACAATAATATTTTTAATTGAAATTATTAATTTAACAGTTTTTTAAACAATTCAAATGTTATTCTCTCTCTCTCTAAATTTTTTTTTTATACCCTAAATTAAAAAAAATTTATTTATTAATGATAATTTTCTTTTATAAATCTCAACATTGTACCTAATTCATCTTTACAGTTAATAATAATAATAATAATAAAAATTTGAAAAATGAATACTATGTATCAATAAATTTTAATAAAAATTTTGAATGTTATTTTCTCTTTTGTTGTTATAAGTATATAAATTATCAGGTACAGTTAATTGATATTAAATTCGTTTAATAAATTATTAAAATAAATTATAATATAATTATAATAATTGAAATTTTACTTTAATGTTTTTTTATTTATTAATATTAATAAAATTCCTTTTCCATGAGTAAAATTTATTATATGCCTTTCATTTTTAATATTAAAAAAAAAAAAGAAACACGTAATAAGTTTTTTTTTTTTTTTTTTTTTTTTTAGACTTCAAACTGGAAAATAATTATTTTAATAACAATTTTAGCGGTCATAATACTTTCACTTTTTCAACATTGAATGTTTTCATTTAGTGCAAGATTGTCGATCGTTTTGGTATAAAAAATTTAATTGAATAAAAAAAAAAAAAAAAAAAAAAAATGAGTGAATCTACAAAAGTTCCTTCATGGGAAGTTCAACATTTAGATGAAGATTTAAATAAAAAACTTTTATCTCATTTTAAAGGAGAACATTTTGCTTTTGTTCAAGTTTGTATACACACACAAACGTTTCTTTGTTTTGTAAATGTGACCTTGATATAAAAAAAAAAAAAATGTTTTTGTTTAGATTGGATCTGGAAAATATTGTTTTCCATATAAATTTTCTTTGGATGCACATTCATATTGGAATTTTAAACCAAGACCAACTGATACCTGGATAGTTACTTATCCTAGATCAGGTAATATATTTTTATATTTTACTAATCGCTTGCAAAAAAACTCATAACTCATTGTGCTTGTTTACTTTTTCAGGCACAACATGGACTCAAGAAATGATATGGCTTATATCAAATAATTTGAATTTTGCTCAAGCCTCTGATATTTTACTTTTGGAACGTTTTCCTTTTTTTGAGTAAGCCTTTACAAAACAAACAAAAATGGATATAAAGTAAGTTTTTAAATTAACTAATTGCAACCTTTTTTTTGCACAGGTTTGGATCATGTGTTGATGATGAAACTTATAAGGAATTTTTATCACTGGCAAAAAATGATGAAATAAAAAAAGGTGTTGATAAGGCATGCGGCCCTGTTTTAAAAGATTTAGAAAATACAACAGAACCTCGTTTTATAAAAACTCATTTGCCCTTTTCACTATTGCCACCATCTTTGCTTACGTGTGGAGCAAAGGTATCGATACTAATAATAATAATAATTATTATAATAATTTGACACGATAAAAAACCTGATTGAAATAATGATAATAAACGGTATATATTTGAATGCATTACAGGTGATTTACGTAGCACGAAATCCAAAAGACGTTGCCATATCATTCTACAACTTTCATAAATTTATAAAAACGTTAAATTTTGTGGGTGATTTTAAAACTTTTTGGAATTTTTTCAAACAAAATTTAATTATTTGGAGTCCATATTGGAATCATGTTAAAGAGGGTTGGGATTTGAGGCATAATCCAAATTTACTTTTTCTCTTTTACGAAGACATGAAAAAAGTAACGTTATTACTAAACTAATTTGATATGCATAAAATAATCTTACCTTTTTTTTTTTTTTTTTAACTTGACGATGATTTTTATTTATCCATAGGATTTGTTTGGAAACGTTAAAAAAATGTCAAACTTTTTACAAAAACAATACACTGATGAAGATTTAAAAAAACTAGTGAGTCACTTAGAATTTGATAATTTTAAAAACAACAAATCCGTTAACATGGAAAGCCTGCGAGATCTCGGAATGCTACTCGATAATGATCAGAAATGCATAAGAGCGGGTAAAACCGGAAGTAGCCAACAATATTTCGATCCGGATATGAATATTGAAGCAAATAAATGGATCGAAGAAAATTTAAAAAAGACAAACATCGAATTTCCGTTAAATTTAATTTAGTGTTATTATATTCTTTTGTTTTTCACTTAAAAAGATTTTTTAACCTTTACGATTTTGAATTAAAGTTTTTTTTTTTTGAAAATAAAATAATTTGTTTTTTTTTTTATTTACTCTTAATCCCGGATTATATATACAAAACGTAAACTATAAAAACACTGAATAAACTAAAGTAGTCCTGAATTATTTAAAACAATTATTATTTATTTCAAAAAAAAAAAACAAGGTAAACAATTTAAAAGTAAATAATTTTATTAAACGTAATAATTGTTTAAAAAAAAAAACATTTTATTTTGTTTAATATATATATATATATATTTTAAAAAAAAAAAAACAAAAACTATAAATATAAATTTTTTTTATACCGTTTTTAAAATAATCATTATATAATTTTAACTAACAAAAATCATTATAATTAATAACTAAATCAGAAAATTTAAAACAAAAAAAAAAAAAAAACAATTAACTATAATGAAAGACTTAAAACAAATTAAAAAATTTTAATCACAGCACGTTTAAATGAAAAAAAAAACTTCTTTGGTTACCTATATGTAATTTTTTAAAAAACAATAGGGTGATAAATTTATTAACTAATTTTTATTATTATTATTATTTTATTAATGAATATAATTGTAAAAAATGAGATCATAAAAATTATGATGAGTATAATATGGAAAATATGACACAAATAATTATTATTTACTTTAAAAAAAAAAAATTATTTAAAAATGAAAAACATCTTTAAAAGTAATCAAAGTGAGTATTAAAAAAGGTTTGAAAAACATTATTTGTTTTAAAATAATGATGAAAACGTTTTCAAATCTTATACAAAAAAGTTTAAGACTGATAACATATTAATATTTATATAATAAAAATTTATAATTTATAATTAAATTAATTATTTTTTTCAACTACAAAAATCCTTCTATAAACTTAAACTTAAATCCATTATTAAAAATAAAATAAAATTTATCTAAAAAACTATTTTTTTTTAAAAAAAAAAATAAAAACAAAACATATTTGATAATAATTTTGGCCTCAATTACAAATTTTTTTTTAAATTTATAAGAAAATCTCTGTTAGAGGACCATGACGTCATTACATAAAACAAAAAAAAATAATAATAATAATGAGTAGGTATGGAAATTACTTTTCCGTCTCCTTTTACACTTAAATAAATTTTTTATAATCTTTGGCTATTTGATTTTTGGTCTTGACATAAAATTAAAAAACTATTTTTTTAAATTTTTTTTTTTTTTTTTTAGGCTTTGTGCCCTGTTTCGTCTGGACTTTCATAAAGTAATGGTTCCCCTCCCAACAGCACAGAATCTCCTGATGCGCTTTGATCTAATATTCCTTTGGCCGACCGACTTTTTTTACGTCTTTGAAAAACTTTCGATAACTGCGCAAATTTGTTTCTTGAAACTGTTGTAAAAAAATTTTAAATTTTTTATAAATGGTACAAATCTTACTTAACGATAAATAAACTTAATGATGAGCAAATAAAAACTTACTTTTACCCATATTTCGAAGTCGTTCTTTAAATGCTTCTATATCTGGTCCTCCGCTTACTTTTTCCTGTACATCTTGATCTAATGTATTCATAAAATCAGGATTAACTCTTAGTTCTGATAAAAATTCTTCATTTTGTAAAAATAAAGCTATCCTTTCATCTTCACCATAATCAACTATTGATTTCTACAACAAAAAGGTATTTAATGATAATACTTATCGAAAGATATTCATTCCCAATATTTAAAATAAAAATGAAATTTCAAATCGAAAAAACTCTTAAAACTTTTTTTTTTTTTTAGGTTTTAACAATTTAAATTTTATAAAAAATTTAATTTATTTATGTACAACCTCTTTTAAATTTTTTTTATTTTTTATTCCTCTAAATTGCCATTTTTTAGGATTTAATTTTTGAAAATTTAATAATAAATTTTTCCACATTACAATTACAAACTATTTATATATATATATATATATATATAACACAAAATACAAAATAAAACTACATAAATAAAAATATTATCGTTAATTTTTTTTTTTTTTTTTTCGTACAATCGACAAATGCTCCTTGAAAACAACTTAATAAATCATGATGGCAAAATGTGACTTAATTTCAGTTAACTAAATTTAATAAGATTGTAAAGGTCAAAAGGTCAATGGTTTGAAATTAAGACATGGAAATAAATATATAATGATATTAGAATTAATGTATTATTCTTTTTTTTTTTTTTTTTTTCAAACTGTAAATGTACTTTTTTTTTTTTATAAACGCCCCATTATCATCTAAACAAATTCTTTGAAAAATAAAAATTGATTGTAAAAATAATTTCATTATTTATAGTTAATTATTAATTAAAAACATTTAAATTCATTTTATTAAAATACCTGATTTTTAAGTTCAATTCTGAGAAAAGTTGGAGGCAATGGACCGAGCAAGGGTGGACTCCATTTTTTTCTGGGATTTGTAAATGGGGGATTTGTTAATGCGACATCGGGAAAATTCAACGGGTTATCTTCCAAACTTTTTATGTTTTCTTTTTCCATTTTTTCCATGTGTAATCTAAGAGCTTCATTTAAATTATCAGTAGTCATTGATAATAACTGATCAATTGTGGCATCAACAGCCCCATTATTAGCTCTTAAAACTTCTTCTATAACATCATGATCCATTTTGGGAAACATTGTCATAAAATCTTGCATTGCTTGTTTGAATTCAATATGGGTTGTGGTATTAATAGGAGTTCCTACTTGTTCACTTTTATTTTCCATACTGTGTCTAATAAATAACAAAATACTTATTTATTTTTAAAAATATTTTTTAGTTTTTAAAAAGCATAATTAAAATTAATTTAAAACAACAATTTACCTTGATCTCTAGATTCGTTTATCAATAGTAAAACCATTTAATAATGATACTTCCAATATTCATATTTTGAATCACAAGCAGCATTTTGAAATTAAAAAATCAATGAATTATTAAATTGGCTTTATGTAGGATAAAAGTTAATACAGATATCAAAACCTTCATTCTGAAAACAAAAGTTAATTCTTTCTTCAAATGATTTTTATTTTGTCAATAAAACAAAAAATCATAAATGTGATTTAGTTTACATACCTATTAAATTTTCAAATTATATCATTTTTGGCAAAAATAAATAAATACAATATATAATTAAAAGAAATAAATCACAGCAAATGAGAAAAATTAAATTCCCTTTTCAAAAGTCTACTCATTGTGAATATATTGTTTAAATAAATTTGTAAATTTATCCGTCAATTTTGTAATGGTAGTCATGTGCTTTGAAAGTTGAGAAAATAAATATTATTCAAAATGGATGAAAATAACGAAAAAAGAATTTTGACTCGATTCAAATCTGAATCCGGAGATGTAATTGAGGGTTTATTAGATTTGCCAGTAAATGTTACAGTTCAAAACCTCCAACGAATGTGTAATGCTCTATTGAAAGAGGTTAGGTTATAAAATTATGTTTTTGATTATTTTTTAAAAATTAAACGTTTTTAATTGAAGTTAAAAAAAATTTTAAATTATTTATTTTATTCAGGATGAAAACACATCATATTTATTTTTTGTCAATGACCAAGAAATTACTGACACACTTGAAAAAGCAATCAAAAAAGATGTTGACAATTCTGAAAATGTGATTGAAATTATATATCAGCAACAAGCTGTATTTAAGGTAAAACCAGTGTCTAGATGTACTAGTTCTTTACCTGGACATGCAGAATCAGTGATATCAGTTAGTTTTGGTCCCAACAGCAGAAATCTAGCTAGTGGTTCTGGTGACACAACTGTTAGACTTTGGGATTTAAATACGCAAACTCCTCATTACACATTAACAGGTCATAAAAATTGGGTTTTATGCTTGTCCTGGACATCAGATGGAAAAAAGCTTGCTTCAGGAGATAAAAATGGTATCATTTTAATTTGGGATCCAATCAATGGAAAACAATTAGGAAAACCCATGACAGGTCACAGAGGGTGGATTACATCATTATCTTGGGAACCCTACCTAAGGTGATTATGGTATTTGCCATATGTTTGTTAATCGCCCACTATTAGTTTTGATGAAACATAATTTTTTTAAGCAGAAATTCAGATTGCAGACATCTAGCTTCTGCTTCCAAAGATGGGACTCTTAGAATATGGGATACTGTTTTAGGCCAAACGCTCAAAGTTCTTTCATCTCACACTAAAAGTGTTACCTGTGTCAAATGGGGTGGAGTAGGTTTAATATATTCTGCCTCTCAAGACAAAACTATTAAAGTGTGGAGATGCTCTGATGGAGTTCTATGCAGAACCCTTGAAGGTCATGCACATTGGGTGAATACTTTAGCACTGAGTACGGAATATGTATTAAAAACTGGTCCTTTCGATCCGATGCAGGCTGAAAATATAGATTTAAATGCAGACAGTCAGTATATAACCTATTAAAATATTGACTTAAATAACAAAATATTAAAATTTTTTTAAATTTTAGAAAAATATTTACAAGAAATAGCTTTATTAAAATATAACAAGGTGAACGTAGATGGAGAAAGGCTTGTATCGGGATCTGATGATTTCACATTATTTTTATGGAAGCCAGAGACTGAAAAGAAACCATTAGCAAGGTTAACAGGGCATCAGCAATTAATCAATGATGTCAAATTTTCTCCTGATGGTAGAGTAATTGCTTCTGCATCATTTGACAAAAGTATTAAGTTATGGGATGCAAAAAATGGAAAATTTCTCGGGGTTTTAAGGGGGCACGTTCAAGCAGTATATGTAATTGCTTGGTCTGCAGATTCTCGATATTTAGTTAGTGGAAGTGCAGATTCAACTCTAAAAGGTTATAATTATTCTAAAATAAATAATTATACAACTTTTTTTTATATATATATTAAACAACTTTTGGTATTTTTAGTGTGGAATATTAAAGAAAAGAGACTAGAAATAGAATTACCTGGCCATGCAGATGAAGTATATGCTGTTGATTGGGCACCGGACGGTTGTGTAGTTGCTTCAGGAGGAAAAGACAAATTATTGCGATTGTAAGTTTTTAAAAAATGAAAAATAAGGTTTAAGTTTAGTTTGTATTTAGTAGTATATACATATATTAAATTAATCAATAATATTAATTTTAGAACTTACATCATATTTTAAAATCGAATTGTAGACGTTCAAAGCTTATTTGCTTTAGTATTTAGAAGCCTTACAGTTAGATTCTTATTGTATATTTTTTATTGCAGTTTAATTAAATTAGTATAATTTTTAATATGAAGTAATTTATTTTTACAGATGGCAGCATTAAGAAAAATAGAAATTATTTAAATTAGTACTCTATTATCTTTCGCCCACTTTTTGATTACGCGAATAATTACCTCTACTTGGGGGTTTGCAGAATTTCTTAATAAAGGTATTATTTCCGACAAAATTTCTCGTGGTTGTTTTTTTGCTATGATCATTTGAAATAATCCGCAACAAGCTCCTCTCTTACCTTCCCAATACTCCGGCAAAGGATCTAAACGTTCTAAAACGTCAAAAGCTTTAGCAGCGTAATAAAATTCTCCCATTTTGTAAGAATCATTTGCAATTAATTGTAATAGACTAAACGATTCGGAACTTGTATCAAGTTTTAAATATAATTCCCACGCTTTTTGAGGTTTTTTATTCATTATATAGCACCTACATAAATGACTTATATAACAGTAATCGTTTCTTAGCTTTTCACTCTGAATTAATAATAAAGTTTCTTCTGCTTCGGCAAAAGAACCTAACGCAACCTGAGCTTGTGAAAAGTTAAAATTAAAATGGTCGTCATTAAAAAAATAACTTTTTATTGATGATAGGTAAGTGTGAACTTGATCAAATTGATGAATTAAGAAATAATAAGAAGCCATGCATTGGCGTCCTGGAATCGTGTCACATTCACTGACGCTTGTACCCACTAATTGAAAATACTGTTGTGCAATTTTTAAATATTCTTGTAAACCAGATTCTTGCCCAAGAGCCGCATTAACTACTCCTTTTAAGATGTATTCTTGAGGAACAGCCGGATCTAACGATTTGATTAATTCATAAGCTTCTTGTGTTTCATCTTGTTTTAAGTAGTAAATGACCAAATTCAATCGCGCTTCTGGTATGATATTTAATAAGGGAGGTAAAATTTGTAATGCTTCTTCGCCTCCCTTAAAGACAACATTATTGTGCTTAATTAAGTCGCTACCGAATCCTAAATTTGTAGTACATTGATCTGTTAATATTTTCAGTTCAGCTTCAGCCGTTTTTCCACTGTATAATTTAAAGTTATTGCAAGCTTTTAAATTTACCGCTATTATTGAATCTGGATGCTGTTGCAAATAAATATTTAATACTTCTTGTGAAACATCGTAGTATCCCAACTTATAGTAGCAGAGTGCAACATAAACATTGAGCGCCGTGTATTCTCTGTTGTGCAACAATACTCTTTTGTAAATATCAATAGCTTCTTGATAATGTGCTCTTAAATAATGAATAGAAGCTAATGACAATTGATCTTGAATATTATCATTTAATTGCTGATGAAATTCCAATAATTTTTTTTCATCTCCAATTTTATGACTTAAATGAAATTGAAGTCGCGTTTTCAAATCAGAGTTATCGGCTTTTAATACCCATTCCAAAGCTTCGGAATAATGACCCAAAAAAAAATAACAGCAAGCTAAATTAAGATAAATTTCACTATTTTTTTCTTTAAAATTTTTGTACACTTCTGCAGCTTTTTCATAATCTCCTAAGTGGAAATAACAAAATCCGAGCCACTGTTCGGAATCGTGAGAGGCTTTAGACTGTAAAACGGTTACGGCTCCAACATAATCTCTTTTTTGTATGAAATCTTTGAAGTTATATTCGGATTTTTTATTTGTCAAATCGTTATTTTCTAAAATACTTACATTAGATCTAGATAATATCATTTTACTAAAAAAAAAAGTATATTTTAGATAAAAATTAAATTACTATGGAAACCGCTAAAATTTCAGGGCTCTATTGCGCCATTTTGGAGCCTCTTTTAAAACACAAATATTATCAACTGTTAATGTTTCAACGATGTTATGGGCATTCTACTTAGTAAATTATAGCAATTTTTTTTATGGATCAACAAAATATTTTAGTTTTTGGATGCCTAACTTTGGCAGTCGCTATTAGTGCATTTATATTATGGGGGCCTTCTCCTCGACCTAAAAAGAAAAAAGGTAATTTTTTAATAAAATTTTTTCTATTTTAACAATTCATTTAAGTAGACAAAATTGAATTTTAATAACATTTAATATGTTTAGGACATATATTAGGACTTGTTAATTTGGGTTCTACGTGTTTTTTAAATACATTATTACAAGCATTGGCTTCGTGTGCAGTTTTTTTGGAATGGCTTAGTCAACAAAAGCACGAAGAAAATTCTCTGACAACTTCTTTATACCATGCACTATGGGGTAGGTTTTTTTGCAAAGAAGTGTATTTAAAAGTGTTATGTAGAAAAAAATTATATAGTCATAATTTAAATAAGCAGCAAAATATTAATTTTTATACAAAATATTATTTTTTAAAATTGCTTTTAGTGCTAAACGGAGGAGGAACAGATGATGTTTTTGCTCCTGTTGAGGTTCTTAGAGCTTTAAAAAGGCATGGTTGGATGGTTTCTTCTGGAGAACAAGATGCTCATGAATTATTTAATGTAATAGTTTCTACTTTGCAAGAAGAAAGTAATAAAGCCTTTAAGGTCAGTAAAATTAATATAAAGATTTTCATGACAAATAGCAATATAATTCTGAGCGAGTGAAATCATTATTTTTACAGGTTGGTTCTTTGTCAGATGCTTTATGTTCATCTGAAACGCTTTCGCAAGCATCTGAAATATTAGAAGATTCAGAAGGAGTGGAAAATAATGTTTTAAAAGAAATTGTACCTGAAAAAAATTTTTCTACAAAAGATAAAGATAATGTAAAAAAATTAAATTTAGGTGAGGGAGATGATGGTCATTCTTTGGGATTGACTTGTGAAAACAGTAGCAGTGATACATTTACAAATTATGAGGATGCATTAGATAAATTAAATCATGGTGATAGTGTTTCACAGTCGAGTACAGTAGTTTTTTACTATATGGATGAAGATTCTGATGCAAGTAATGTGAATTGTAGTGGAGATTTAGATGACTCTCCAAATAAACTTTATAAAAAAAATAAAGAAAGTGATGTAAGCTCAAAAACAAATTTTACTAAAAGTTATATTCAAAAATTTAAAGCTTCACAAGAAAGTTTTAAGGAAAAGTCACCTGAATTTTCTGGTTATTATGACAGAATTAGTGGATGTTCTCCTTGTAATCTTCCTCAAGCTGATTATCCTCCGTTCCAAGGATTATTGACAAGTACTCTTCAATGTTCAGAATGTGGACATCATTCTTCTCTAAGATATGACACTTTTGACAGTGTTTCCCTTCCACTTGGTGATAATTTTCCTTTTCCGGTACAAAAATTGCAAGATTTACTGCAAAAATTTGTTAAAACCGAAGTTATTTCTGATGTAGATTGTGAAAAGTGTTGTAAAAAAACAACAGCTTTTAAAACGTTAAATTTTGGAAAGGTAAATCTTTTATTTTTTTACATTCATTATTAAGCATTCAAATTAATAAGACAAATGAAATAAATTTAAAGCTTTTATAAATTATTTGTCTTTTTGAGGGATAATCATTTACAAGTTGTGGTAAAAAAAAATATTTATATTGCAGCTGCCCTATTGTTTATGCTTGAGAATTGCAAGAACTGCTTGGCATTCCTATTCTAGCACACCAACAAAAAGAGAAGATTATGTTGACTTTCCTGAATATTTGCCAATGGACGATTACACAGTTTTTTCCCGTTTGAAAAAAGGAAATTCTATGACGTCTATACAGACGGATAAGTCAAATAACGTGTTTGGAAAAGAAAGAACGTACAAGCATTTATACAGATTAAAAAGTGTCGTTGTGCACTTGGGTGGAGTTAATTCTGGTCATTTTCTCACATACAGAAGAGGAGCTTTAAATACTTCAAAAAGGCATAGGTAAAATAAAAAAAAATTAAAAAATGCATGTTTAAATAGATATAAGCATGAAAAAATATTTTAACACAGCCTAACACAGCCATAATTTCATAATTTTGCATGAGAACTCGAGGAATGGTTAAAAATAATAATTGTCATATTTAAATTTATTTAATTCTTTTACAGTAGTAAAAGAAAAATTATTCTAGTACATAATGATAAGATTTTTATTATTATTATTATTATTATTATTATTATTTATTATTTTGCTTTTTGTTAGAAATTTTCTTTTAACTTTTATATTGGTGTAGTAGGTGCTTATTTTTTTTTTATTTAATTTTCTTCTTTGCAGGGTAGGAAAACTGGCTGGGGCATGCATGGACAGTCAAAGGTAACTTATTATGTAATTAAAAAGAAATTAAATAATAATAATAATCCCAGTTTGAAATACAACAAATAAATAAATAGAAAATAATATTTTACATACATGAAACATAACCTAAACGACATTGATTATAATCGACCAAATTGTAAAATTTAATTCCCATCCCTGAGATTCATTTTTTTTCTTCTTCTCTTTAATAAAATAAATTTTCTTGGCGGGAACGAATACATTCATTATTTATAACTCTATTTTAGATGGTATTTGACATCGGATGACAATGTCAAAATGTCAACGTTGTACGAAGCCATGGATTCAATTGCATACATGCTTTTTTACGAAAAATGTTTTCCGGAAAACGGATCTGGAAATGACACGCCGCAAAAAAACGTTTATTTATTTGATAATAGTCTGAGTAGTACGTAGTGATAACATTTGGTTATAAAAAAAAATTTATTTTAAACCACCGTAGAATATTAAATTAGTAAATTGTCAATGAATGTTGTTAAAAAGTACTCTCATAAATTATTAAAAAAAAAATTTTTTAAATATATTTTTTTGATTTTTTTTTTTTTTTTTCTTGTTAAAACATGCTTTTTAGAATAAGGTTTTTTTTTTTTTTTCTTGCTGTCGTTGTGATATTTTACTTGATGTTTCTTAATTAATGTATTTAAAAGAATTTTTTTTTTTTTAATACGAATTGTATTAAAATTTATTAAAATAATAATAAGGCAAGCGATTTGTTTTCAATGATTTATTTAATTTTCTAATTATTGCATCAAAAAGTTTGTCAAAAAGAATGTTTTTTGTTTAATTTTATGTTTTGAATTGAACAAGGGTGAGTAATTATGTCATTAAGATATGCATAGCATTGTAATAAACTTTGTCAGATTGATAAAACTGTATTCGATATGAATGCACAATCTTATCAATTGTTGGTTTGTATGGAAATCTTAAAATAATGGTTCCCTATCTTAAACCTTGTAAAATATGTTGACTAAAGCCATAGAGACAATCAAGTTTACAAGAAAATAAATCAACAGTTGAACTTTACCGATGACCAAGTATCCAGATGTACATTTAGAACATAGATAAAATTCAAATTATAAAGTCAAAAAAAGTACTTTGGATATGACTATTTTAACCATTGATTAGATACAATTGAAATAATTAATTTATAATTATTAATTGTTTGATAATTCAAATCTAGAGGGATCAAATACAAGGGCAGATTTTTATTAAATATTAGGAAGTGAAAATAGTTATTGATATCCCTTAGAAAAATAACCCTCATGTAATATCATTATGTAATTTACCATGAAAATGTAATCTTTGGGTTTTTATCGAGTAAAAATAAATAAACTTTACTAATGTAGAACAAAAGACTTAACTTTAATTTTTGAAAATTTTAAAATGTGTTGTTATTATTATTAATAATTGTATAAAACATATTAATATTTAAAACAAAAACAAAAAGAATAAATATTTAATTACTAAAACATGTATTTCCAGATAAAAATGTTTACTTAGTTCAATACATTTAGTTTAAATATTTTGGGATGTTAAAAAAATATAATAAAAGATATTTTTCGTGAAATATGAAACATTTTAATTGAAAACTTCTATTTAAAAAACATAATGTAATTTAGACATTTAAAAAAAATTGGTTTGTCATTAAAAACAAAGGGGTTTACTGCTTTGTAAATTATCATGACTTTTGTTGATAAGTAAAATCTATTTGTATACTTCATAGAAGTTACACAAAGAATTCAATTAATTTATGAAATAAAAAAATGTATAATAATTAAAAAAATGTCAAATTACTAGTATAAATTACAATTAAATTTTATTAAGCCAAAAATATAAAAATAACTGCTCTAACTAAAAAAAAAAAAAAAATTCAAATTTTAGAAATACAATTATTTTCATTGAATAGCTGAATCATTGAATCTTTTCTATAGCATTTGCAAAATAATATTACATAAATATTGTAAAAAAAAAATTGAGTATTTATTGTAAAATGCTTAAAATAGTAAAATAAAAATTAAATAAAAATTTTAACTTAAATTTTTTAAATAAAAGTATTAACGTCTCTAAGAAAACAAAGGCCCTGAAAATATTATATATTTTGTTGATTGAGAAATTTACATAGTAAGTAAAATTTTATTGTTTCACACTACAAAGCAATTTATTTTGTCTTTGTTTTTTTTTTTTTTTTTTACATTTATCTTCTATATTATTGTGTGTAGTGTTTTTATGTTAGTGCAATTACGTAGAAACTATATTATAAGAAGAAATGTTATTTTGGATAAATAAATAAATAAATAATAAAGTCATATACGTATTCTATAATGGAAACAGTTGGTGATTACGAATACACAACTAAAGATTTAATAGGCCATGGAGCTTTTGCTGTTGTTTTTAAGGGTCGACATCGTTCGGTAATTTTTCGTTTTATTAAATTTAATAGTAAATCATAATCAATCGAATTTATATTTAGATTACCATTTACATTTTTTTATAAAATTTACATATTTTATTTACATTTATTTATTTATATTTGTGTTTTACGTAATTAGAAAAAAAATGTAAGATTTTTTCACTTTATTTTAAATATTTTAAATTTTTTTAGAATCCAAATCTAATTGTTGCTATCAAAAGCATAACGAAAAAAAATCTGGCAAAATCTCATAATTTGTTAGGAAAAGAAATTAAAATTTTAAAGGAGCTTACAGAGTTACATCATGAAAATGTTGTAGCTTTATTGGATTGTAAAGAAACTCCTTTAAATGTTTTTTTGGTTATGGAATATTGTAATGGTGGTGATTTGGCCGACTATTTAAGCGGTTGGTATTTTAAATACTTTTTTAAAAAAACCTTAAAAAAATTTTTTAAAACTGTTTTTTAGTTTTCAATATTTATTTTCTTTAAATGACAAGGGAAATACATAAATTTTATTATATTAATTTACTTTAGCAAAAGGAACATTAAGTGAAGACACTATTAGGTTATTTTTGTGTCAACTTGCTGGAGCTATGAAGGCATTACACGATAAAGGAGTTGTTCATAGAGATTTAAAGCCACAGAATATTCTGCTAAGCCATGATCGAAAATCTAACCCTCCACATCCTCAAGATATCACATTAAAAATTGGTTTGTTGTACTTCAAGAATCAATTTTAAATAATAAATACCATCATATGTAATAAATTATATAAATTTCAGCTGATTTCGGATTTGCTAGATTTTTGCAAGATGGTGTGATGGCAGCTACATTATGCGGTTCACCAATGTATATGGCTCCTGAAGTCATTATGTCTCTTCAGTATGATGCTAAAGCAGATCTTTGGTCACTGGGTACAATAGTTTTTCAGTGTCTGACTGGTATTGCACCTTTTCAAGCTCAAACTCCTCAAGCACTAAAACAGTTTTATGAAAAAAATTCAAATCTTGCTCCTAAGTTAGTATTTCGAGAAATCATATTTTGAATTTTTTTTTTTTTTTAAATTTTTTCAAAAGTATTTGTTTGCTCTCATTTAGTAAAAAATATTTTTTTACTCTTCATTATAACAAATAATAATATTATTTTATAGAATTCCTAATGGTACATCTCCGGAATTGGTATCACTATTGAATGGTCTTCTTCGAAGAAATGCCAAAGATAGAATGTCATTTGACGTTTTTTTTAATCATCCATTCCTTAGACCTCCATCTCCGGTCAACAATAAACCAGGTACGACAAACGACAAATTATTAACAGTTAATAAATAGAAGAATTCAATTTTTATTTCAAAATATTTATTTTTATAAAAATTTAGTTGAACTTGGAGTTTCTCCCGTTACACCGAGACCTTCCTCACCACCAGCTTCTTCATGCGAAAGCCCAGAAGAAACTGATGATTTTGTTTTAGTTCCTGCAAATTTACCTTTCGAAGATAAAGGGTAAAACTTTTTTTTCATATATATATACATATTAAAACTATTGATGTATATATAATGTTTCAGTCAAATTTTTATACAAAACAAAATTGTTTTCTTTTTGTAAAAACAATGAAGATACAAACTACAATTTTCTATTATAATTTATATTTAAAGTTATAGAGACAAATGATAGACAGTAATCGAATAACACTCGAATATTAAACAAATCAAGAAGTTTAAAAAAGATAAAAAAAAAAAAATTTTATTTAAAACTATATTATGGTTACACATGGTGTTCATCTAACTCGTTAGAGTTACAATAAAATTTTTTTTTTTTTTCATCATTTTATAATTTAGTCTTCTTGGTTACCAACAAAACGAATAGTTTTAAATATTTTTTTAACAAAAAAAATTTTTAGATGCGAATTGTTTATTTCATTTCAATACTTTTTTGCATTTTGTTTTAGCGAAGCAAAGCATGGTTTATTCTAGTAATTTAGTATTTCTAATTATAGCACTTAAAAAAACTTATTAAATTTAATATTCTCAGAATGAGTTCTGCTGCTAGTCCTCCTAGACCAAGTTTTTTGCCTGTAGACGCAACCGAACCTATACCAGTACCTTCCCCTTCCAAGGTAAAAAAAAAAAAAAAATTTAATTACATAATTGTTATGTTAATATATTTAATTTGGTAATTATAAAACAATTGATTTTTTTTTTTTTTAGAATGTAGTGCCTAGGTCGCAACCCATTAGCATGAAAAGGAAAAGCTCTCAAAATTCTGGATTGGGTGTCCAAGGTTTATCAATCGGCTCATTATCTCCTCCTGCAGTACAATTTGTTTTGGGTACGCCCCCAGGTACCAGAAGACGATCTGCATCGGGAAGTTCTTGCGAAACTCCTCCTCCCGTAACGACTTGGCCCGTGTCTCCTTCTGGGGCTTCTTCCTTAAGGCGTTCAGGTACCATTAATTTACATGACTTTAAAGCAATCTTTTTTAAAAACCTTTTTTTTTTTTTTTTTAGTAATTTGACATAAATATTTTTATGTTGATTTCAGGTAACAGCTCACCCATTTTAGTGGGTCCTTTAGCAGTTTTTGGATCTCCTCCGCAAGAGGGATTAAAACAGTCGACGCCCAGAGCGATGACATTACCGGATTTTCAAAATAGCTTAGGCTTTAGAAATTTATTCTCCAGAGATGGCAGTAACATGCCATTGACGTTCATTGCTCCAGAATTACCCGAGGAAACGTTATTACACAGAGAACATAACGAAACATTAGCGAAATTAAATTTTGTACTTGCATTGTCACAATGCGTCGTAGAAGTGGCCAAGCAAAGGGCGAGTCCATTAGAAAACGTTCAAGGCAATACGGAAACGAGCCGGCGAGCTGAACAATTGGTTTTATTAGTTCGAGCTTTACAACTTTTAAGCTCGGGTTTGGGTCTCGCTTCCGAACAATTACAAAATGGTCAACTTCAACCATCTGCTTCGGTTAAAAGCGGTGAATACCTTTCCTAATTTTGTTTGTACCTTTTTTTACCTTTTTTTTCCATTTAAATATTTTTGTTATTATTTGCTGCAGTTGTGAGTGTCATGCATAACAAATTTCGACAGTGTTTAACCGATTGCAAAGCTTTAGATGCTCCAGGATTACTGAATAGAACTGATTTAGATACTTCAATAACGGCAGATAAAATTCTTTATACCCATGCAATAAAAATGGTAAATACACGAACATCATCATCCATCTTTAAACTTTAGAATTGAATCTTGTTAATAATAATAATTTTGTTTTTTCTTATGCGACAGTGTCAGAGTGCAGCTTTAGATGAGCTTTTCGGAAATCCAGAAGATTGTTTTCAAAGGTATCAAAGTGCTCAAATTTTATTGCACAGTTTAAGTCAACAAGTTAGTCATCACCAAGATAGAGCTTTATTAACAAAATGTAAGTTTTGCTTACTTTATTTGTATCCGATGCTGAATGAAAAACAAACTAAAAATTTTTACCCGCGAAAAAAATAAATGCCACGATTTTTAAAATGGCGTCCTTTTTTCAGATAAAGATGCCGTAGAAAAAAGATTATTTGTATTACAGCAACAGGGATATATTTACTCAACGTAAAATTATTTCTGTCATTAAAAAAAAAACGATTTTAGATTTACCTCGGAAAAAAAAAAAAAAAAAAAAAAAAATGTTAGATCCAGTATCAATTTTTTATTTTATTTTATTTTTAAAATTTCAAAATCACGTTAAAATGGTTTATTTTTATTTAATTAA